TCTACACCCTTCCGGACCCCTTGCACCGCCGCTTGGAGGCGGAGGAGGAGCAGAGGCCTTTGGAGGAGCTGCAGTTTGTTTCTCAAGAAGGCCTCCAGATGCCAACCCAAAACATCCCAATGAACCGGCTATGACTTTGACCAGGAGTTCCAGCCGCTGTAGCCTGTAGGATCATTCGGTTTCATTTAGCAGGAGAGCCTGAAGATCATGAACGAGAACAAGATGAACTTGCAGAAGCACTTGGCCCACTTCGGGATGAACATCTCCTCCACTCCGAGCTACACCCAGGCTGACAAGGAGAGCGGGGAGTGCTGAAGCCTGGGCGTGACAGGGTACCTTTTTGGAATGCCTTCAGCGACACCCAAAATCTTCACTGTTCTGTGAAATGCCGACAGTCTTGCACCAAACGAACACGTCATCAGAAAGCATTCAAGCTCGTTATAACAAACCAATGGTGTCAACCAAAAGCCCAGAAGACCATCAATGGCTGTGCTGCTATTGCAGGAGATCTTCTTGCGCTTGATGGAGGGCGGTTTGGACACACCACGCGCGGCCGGACCCTTCCAGGAGTGTTAGGTTTAGGACCTTAAATAAGTTGTATAATGATGTATAATGAAGGAGCCACAGTTAGCTCCCTCTTTGACTGGACTTCGTGATGGTGATTTGCCTCTGGGAACCAGTGAGGTATTTTTGTGCCTAAAAGCACCAGATGCCGAGTGTGATCGAAGTCCAAACGATGACGTAGGATCCGTAACGGGACGCCGTTTCGAGACTAGCGGAGAGACTGGAGTCACTCCGATGACGAAGTGGAATTCGTCATGCTGAGTCATGCTGGAGCACAGCTCCTGCTTGTAAAGGAAAGTCATCTTCCAAGGGTTGGGTTCCATCGATATCCACTTCCATGTGAGGCTCGGCTAGCCTGTTGCCGAAAGCGTCGGAGCCTGTTGCCACAGAGGCCAGGCGGTCCTGCATTGAGATCCCTCGGGCCGGGGCAGGTTACGCAGACGAAGACTCACGGAAATGAGTTTATTACATAAATCTATATCAACCTTGACTGGTTCGTTTGGATTGTAAGATCCTCCCCCCACATCTTTTTTTCTGCAACCAGAGATTGTGCCCATTTCTCATATAGGATGAACACTTGATGTTATCCAACAACTGCAGAGCGAATTCTCTCGAGGGTTGGGCAGCGATTCCGGCGTGATTCTTCTTGGGCAATGTCTCAAGGATCGTATTGCTGATGATCGAATTTGTTAGAGTACTGGAACTCCCACTGCTGCGCAAGAGCTTGCAAGGTGAACGATGTTCCAACATGAGCAGGTTGTTTTATGCTCCTTGTTCTTAGGTTCGGTGAAATATGATAGCTTGACAAGAGTGATCAATTAATATACCAAGATTCCTGCTGCGCCTGTGTGAATCTCCGACAAAAGCTCTTTCTGCAGCTGAAGGGAAGGCCTGGAATTGGCCAGCTGGTTGTGAAGTTCTTTTATCGCCTCTGATGAAAACCCTCTGATGTTTCGTTTTGAGCACATGGAAAAGTGTGGCAAGAAAACAACAACAACAACAAGTCACTTCCACTTGTTTGGGAGGAAGGTACCGGTTGTGCTTGAGTTGGAGGCGTGGCTTCACAGACCACTGCACCGGAAAGGCAGTCGGCGTCCATGGTCCATTTGTCATGACTTCGCCGCCAGTCCTCTGCAAAAAAGATAGATGTCGTTTCGATGGACGACAAAGACCAAAACAAAGACCTCAAAACCGGCCCCATGAGCCGAAACGGCCGGTGCGACGACTGAGAGCTGGGTTTCCTCCATCGGTGTAGTGGCAAAAATCGGCGCAACGGTCATGTTGAGCGAGGTGTCCTTTATCGGCTGGGTTCCGTTCAACAACGTGTCAGCGTTTGCGGTGTATAACAATGTAATTATAAGTTCTATTGTTACTCGTAAGTTTCTCCAAAATCTAGAAACCAAATCATTAGTGCGAGCGCTTCAAAACGTATCAAAAAGGCGTCGGCGTATCCAGAAACCGGTGTATTGCTCCCAAAATGGCCCAGTCGGCCAGGCTTCAATTTGCTACTCCGAAGAGGCACCAGCAAGTTCTTTTTGTGTTTCTTTTTTAAATACACAATTCCAAGAGAATGATCCACATCAAAAACATATCAAGATGTCAAATGTCAAGACATTTAATTCTTTTTCATGAACAAACCATGCCCATCCAACAGAACATATTTTCACTACTGGTCCTTGTCATAGACATGGAACATGGACATGTCCAAGACAATTTCCCTTTACATAGTAGCAAGAAGCTACTAATTAGGTGGAGGTCATCGCTCTTTAGCTTGGAGGCCATCGCTATGAGTGTAAGAAGAATAGCTACTAGTATTCTGAATAGAACGGTGAACCAACGGTTCCATGTCGAACGACCCATGGCGAGATACATGCGAGCCTCCCAATCGTGATGTCGGAGACATTGAGATCTCCCTATTGCCAGTAGTGGGTTGGTTTAAATATCTATGTCGACAACCATTCTCCTGAATCGTTTCTTTTTTCAGTTGTTCACATCCTGTCAGACTGCTGTAAGGTGTTCACATCCTGGCTGATGCATTCACCCCATGTGTTTGTTCTTTGGGAGCCATGCCGTTCCCCACCGTTTGGAGGTGTCTTCCACTTTGCAGACCTTCTACATAGGTAGCTAGTAATCCTACTCCAAGAAAGACAAAAGGAGAAGAACCCCGCAAATGTACACTGTATATATATATACATATATAGCCATTTGCGCGCCATCAAGTCTAGCCTCTGTCTCTCGTATCGCAATCTCGTGCCTCCGAAATCGTCATGGCAAGCTTTGCCGTGGTGGAGCCAGATAGCGCATCTGAGGAGCTGGTGTCCCGTCGTGCCTGGGCTCAGCCAGCTTACCGAAGATTAGGGATGGCCAAGCTGAAGAGCTACGTCCAAAGGGTGTTTGTTGTTGGGGTGGAGTCATTTGTGTGCCTGAAACAAAGGGGTGAAACGGTCACGGTGGAAAGTTGCATCCAAAAGATGTGCAGCTGAGCATGAAGTTGGTACGCCCTGCTGCTTGCTGTTCAATAAGGCTCATGGCCGGTGAAGAAGACCTTGTGTGTGGCTGGAGTCCTTTTGGCAGTGGTGGGCCTGGGATCTCTGCGCTTCTCCAACCAATGCCTTAATTTGGATGCCTTACAGGGAAAGTCCGAGGCGCAGATGGATGAGGCTGACGCCCGCAAAGGACAGCGACGACAAACGTCCAGTCTTCTCGAGTTCCAGCGAAAGAGACAGAATCAACACGACCACAGCGCTTTTCGCTTGTACCGCTTGTTGACATCCATCACTTCCTCCCAGATTCCTTCAAGCATGGCTGGCCTTGGCAATACCTCTGCTTCCAGGATTGGCCCGTCCCATCCACTCTCGTCGTCATGTGTTCGGTTTGTCTTCGCGTCTTCGTTGTGTCATTTGTGGGAGGCTCTTCTCAAGACGCGCAAGAAGCTCCTGGAGGCCGGAAGGTTGAGAAGTCGGAGGAGACATATCATGGGCCCAGCTTTGTGTCATTTTGATTCATGTTGTGTCCATCAAGATCAGCTATTTTAACAGGACCAAATCCTCCAAAATGTCATTTTTGCAAAGAAGGCTCCATTGCTTCTATGGCTGCCACGGAAAAACGCAAGTCCAGCTGGATACGTAAACTGGAGACACCAATCGAATTCTCCGAGGGGAAGACGGATTCCGCTGGGCCTTGTCTCGGGCCGGGTCGGGTGTTCTCAGGTGAAGAATCGCAGCCTGGCAGAGAAGACCATTTTGAAGGCCATGCAGAAAGCTGGCCACGATGCGCAAAAGGATTGGGAGGCACGGACCCAGAGAGGTGGTTTTTCCGGACGCACACCGGACCGAGTGTACGTGCGTGGAATGGAAGGTGGGTGGCAAGTTTGTCCTGAAGTGACTGGTGGCACTGCCATCCAGTCGATGACAGAGTCAAAGCTTGTAATTTTGTGCTTGGGTGATGATCCTTGTTCAAGAGAGAGCTGGGAGGACCAGATATCCTTGTGGTGATGGACGGAACCTTCCAGATCACTACAGGTATCCAAAAAGACTCGGAACATGAAACAAAAAGCATTCGTCGACACGGTCAGAAGTCTCCTAGTTCACATCACACTGTTTATGACAACCACGACAACAAGTCGCCGGGCGAAGTCCGAAGCCCTCCAAAGCCCTCGTCCGTGGCTTTCGGCGAGGAGCATCACATCCGCAAGCTGGACACCTTGACGGTTCTGAAGGACCGCCAGGCCATCAAAGACTTCCGCCGTGGGCAGCACAACAAGGAGCATGTCGCTGGGTCGCTGATGCTGTCGCTTCCGTTGGTTTTTCTTTGCTGTTCACTGGCATTGGATGAGATGCATTGCTGCTGATTGAGAAGTTTGGGTGATCATCCCTATTCTGCCGGCATTTGTATCTATTCGTGTTACTGGATCATATCTTCACCATGGTCTTCTATAGGTAATGCAGGAGAACTTGTCAATGTTTCTCAACCGTATCCATATGTATATGTGGACCGCACTGTATCATGTGCCTCTTGTCTTCATTTTGCCTGATCTTTTCAAGGTCTTCCACCGATTCCACTGTAGAATAGACTTCCCCGGTCCACCGATTCCTTTGCCGCCTAGAAGCCGCAGGAAGCTGGACATGCGGAATGCGCCTTCAACATTTTGGAGGCAATCATAAGAAGAAGAAGAAGAGGAAGACATCAATATCATCATTGACAGAGAACCTTTTCTGTTACAAACTGTTCGTTTTTTGTTGTCTTTGTGTTTGTTCTTTGAAGATTTTGGAGGCCTTTGTCTCGGTGGTGGGCATGGGCGACGACATCAACGGCATCGTCCGCACCTGCCCTCCTCCCCGCGACGGGGAGTCTGAGTTGGCGTGCCAGGTGGACGCATCCATCCTGGTGGCATGGGTGCCGTGGAAGAATGAGAATAAGTTGATGATGATATTGATGATATATTATATATTATTATATATTTGATAAAGATAATTCCGAGAATAACAATAGTAGTAAGAGCAAATAGAAATCCAATATATGTTATATTGGTGGGTACTGAGTAATTACCATATATTGTAAAAAATAGTCCAGGTAATAGATGCTATATATGACCTCATTGGCAATCATATGATAAACCCTCCAGAACGGCGATCTGCCATAGCGGTGTTTTTAGAGGAAATTCGCTGGCGAGGCTACCCACACTTTGGGGGGATACCTTCAGAAGACTACCAATTCAATGCATTTTGCATCGCCTTTTGTGGGTGGGGCAGGGGTCTTCATTGCCACGGCCGAAGTCCTTCATGTGCTGCGACGCTGCTAAAGCCACTCCAAGATGATGTATGCATTTAGATGCATTTAGTTTTTTTGAATTATCAATCAATTGAAAGCTAGTAGGATGCAATCCTTGTATGGGGCTTGTGTGGTTTCTCTCTCTCTCTATCTATATATATATATATTGACTATATCAGATCACCCAAAAAGGTGTCAGTCTATGAAAGGACAGCCCTCTACCATTTTGTGTCGTCCATGACGCATAACGCGCATAGGGTCCCACAAAGCAGGCGAGGACCCAGAAGCATTCACTGAGATCAAACGCCCTGTGGGTGAATCCCCTGGCATGGGGAAGATGTGTCTTTTCTTTTCTCGGTTGAAGATTTGGGCGGTTGATGGGCAGATGATCCATGACAACCGTTGGCCGCACTCGCCAAGGTGGGCAACGCCGCGGCCAAGATTTCCCTCGCGGCCTCCAACTGCGCTCTGTCGCTGAACGTCGACTCGGTCTGCGCGGCGGGCGTCACCGGCCTGGTGGCCGCCTTTGGCGAGATCTCCGCGGGCGCCTGCCTGGGCGCGGCGGTGGCCCGACGGCAGGAAGCGGGTCCAAACGAGGGGAAGCTGCATGTTCTTTTGGCAGGCGTACAGATTGTTCAGTGGCAGGCGGTAATTATCCACATATAAGATCATATAAGGTTCGAACAGCAATTAAGGAGCTCCAGGGCGTTTCCCGATGCCCTTAAGATTTGCTAGTTCAAGCACATATAATGGTCAGTCCCTGGGTCTTCAAGTGTCTCCTAATATTACATAATCACTGATTTGTAAAGCAAAATCAACGTCCAGTATATTGTTTTAAGATACGATCATTCTCCACGAATGTCCTCCAGTCACTGCGAGGGTTCCTCCAGTCACTGCGACCGTTGCTGGGCTCTACTGGGGCAACGACTTGATCTCGACTCCATGTTTAAAGAGAATCAAGGAGGCCTACTAAAATTGGTTCACATTGTTCTTTTTCCACTCAGTTCCAGTGACGGCTGAGGTTTGCACGCCGACGCCCCCATCTTTGACCACTACCAAGATCAGCGTGTTGGGTGATCAGACAGTGCGCACGCCTGAAGCTGGGCGTCGTTTGTTGATCGGTGAAGGGCCAGTTGGAAATGGCGTCCAGTGTGGTGTGGATGTGGGCATGGTGGCGGCCAACATCGCCAACATCGGAGCCTCGGCTTTGTGTCTGTAGGGCTGTTATTCTTTTCTATCGGGGGAACAGGTTCATGACTGTTCTTTGGGCTGATGGTATTTGAAACTTTGAAACGTGTAGGCGGCGTGGGTTTTGTCATTGGCCAATCTCCAAGCGAGGTTTGGCCATCAACAAGGCAGTGAACGTGAATCGCTGCGGAAAGTTCGCGACTGAGAAGAACCCCTTGAACGTCCTGAAGGGCATTCCAGATGCGCTGTGCACTGTGGACATTGCTGGAGCTGTCGCATACATCAGTCACTCGGCGGATCAGATGTCCCAGATGGATCGTTCTTCGCAGGTCGGGACATGTGTTCGTCCGATTGACATGGTGTTCGTCCAATTCTCCGCTAGATGCCCAAAGCTTCGGGCTTAGTGCCTGGAAACCCTCATGAGTTCGGACACCTCTTAATGCTTCTTAGCTGACCCTGGATGCAAAAACCTGGTGCCTTGAAACCAGCGCCCCATGGCCGTGTGTTTCGGTGAAACGCTTCGCCCCAGGGCTTCAGGCTGTTCTTTTCAGGACGGTCCATCGTTCGGCGACATTTTGTCAAGAACTGCATCCGGGCTAAGAATGGAGAGTAGAAAAGATGTTGTACGATATCATACATGTGTATATTGTTGATGTTGATTTAAACAATACAGACATACATATATTATATATTTGATTATCGTTGGTGCACAAAACAAGGTGGCACTCAGCTTCTCAGACATGCTTTGCCCACTGGGCGCAAGCGACGGCCATCGGAACTGGCAGACAGAGTCGTTTGGACTTAGGTCAGGTCGTCACCTTCATCAACCTCATCGTCGTTCACTGCCAGGACACATGATCCCCACCTAAAAGTTTGCCCACACGACCACCTCTCGAACGAAAGTGAGGTGGAGCTACAGGAAGTGAGGATGCCGGAGTGTATCTGAGGATGTTCAGCGGATTCAGGCCTTCAGGTCATGATTGGTTTTTTGCCATGGTTCGCAGCTTGTAGATCTTGGGGGGGCTTGTGCCTTCACGTGCGCTTCGCACCCTCTCCAACATCTCACTCTGACCCGACCAGGACTTCCTGGATGTCAGCGCCCTGTGCGGCGGTTCCATCGCCGCCATCACCACCGGAGGTGCTGCCATTGCTGCCTATGGCGGCGCGGTGCACGCCGCCTGCCGCTACAACCACCTCCTGAAGACTCCGAAGCCTACGCAAAAGGTGGCGGAGTGGAGGAGTGGCTCGTGTGTGTGGCCCACTCGGCTGGAGTACCAAAAAGGTCGGCATATCAAAGTGGTGGAGTGAAACCCCAACTTGGAGCCACCTGGATCCCCCCGAAGAGACCCCAAGATACGATATCTATTATATATTACTATTATATATATATATCGATATATCAAGTTGCTCTACGAATCGACGAAGATCTGTACAGGAATGCCAATATTCATTACCTGTCCTATTTAATTGGAGTTTTTCCTGAAGATTTCCCTGGAGAAGCATTCCGTTCATACTTTGTAGAACAATCCGGGTCATGCCTGCAATGATGCCTCGGTCATATGTTTGACGGTGTTTTGGTGTCCTGCACACGCTTGAGAATGTCGTTCAAAGACCGGTCATGCTTCAGATGACGGTCAAAGCCGAGTCACGTTTTGTGAGTCTATCCCAGTCCTACACGACACTGACGCTGGTCGACGCTGCAAGTCTTGTCGTTGGTGCAGCCCATGACAGCTGTGGCTGACTGACTCACTGCGTTTGCCGGATGGGCCGAACATACTCCTCACCAGGCATGCACCGGTGGACCCACGTCAGGCTTCTGATTCTGCGCCCGTCATGTAGGTGGTTTCAGGCATGTGCCGCATGTGCTGGCAAAGTGTTTGGAGCGGACAGTGGAGGCTTTGTGCCGAGTGCAAAGGCTGCAAAGGGTATGGGGAAGAACCAAAGCCATTGTGCAGACATGCACTGCAAGACTATAGGAACCTACGGTGTAAACATAGACGCACTTGTAATCCTTAGTGTTGTGTGCACTAGAAGCAAACTGTCCACAACATGCATAGAAACAATTAGAGGAGTGTTTTCAGCAGGTGTCCATGGTGTCCCCTTTAAAAAGGAAAAAACAAACAAACATGTCTCCACCAATGCCAAAATGGTTTTTCCACCCTTTCCAACAATACAGCGCCTTCGAACAGGTTGGTGCATAGAACTTGGGAGGCCAGCCGTCGGGAGGCGCATATCTCATCATCCTAGTTTGCGCCGAGGAAAGCCGTGGCGAAGATCAATGAGCTCTACACCCTTCCGGACCCCTTGCACCGCCGCTTGGAGGCGGAGGAGCAAGAGGAGCAGATGCCTTTGGAGGAGCCAGGCTGCTGATTGAAAAGGTACTTTCGCTTAGGATAGGCCAGAGTGTTGGATGGAGATCTAGGATGATCTGGAATGTTTGTTCAGAACAACAATACCTTATAGGTATATATAGCCGGGGGATGGAAGGGGGTATGTAGATTTGGATGTTTCTGCGTTGTTTGCTTGCTTAGTTTGTTGTTTCTCGCTCCAGAAAAGGAATCCATGTTGGAGAGGTGTTTAGTGCATATTGAACGTCAGTTTGTTTGGCTTCAGATTCGTGGTGGGTCAGAATCCAGGTCGGAGATTTCAGATGAACATTGGTGAGATTGGTCATGGCCTTTTGATCCAGGAGAGCCTTAAGATTATGAACCAGAACAAGCTGAACTTGCAGAAGCACTTGGGCCACCTGGGGATGAACATCTCACACACTCAGAGCTACACCCAGGCTGACAAGGAGAGCGGGGAGTGCTAAAACTTGGACTGATGCCAGGCTGGCGCTGGAAAAAACGGGGGTGAAATGATTACAAGATATTACAAGGATGCTGCAGATGGTGTGCAGTCCAAAGGCGACACTGACATCTTCCAGTTTCTAGAGTGGAGTGTAAGGGCATCATCAGGCATCATTAAATGAAGTTGCCACCATGGCTGTGCTGCTATTGCAGGAGACCTTCTTGCGCTTGATGGAGGGCGGTTTGGACACACCACGCGCGGCCGGACCCTTCCAGGAGTGTTAGGTTTGTTAGGTTCGGACCAAGCAAGTTGTATATCAAGGAGCCACAGGTAGCTCCCTCTCTTGACTGGACTTCGTGATGGTGATTTGCATCTGAGAACAGGTGGCTAGTATATGTGCATAATTATACACCAAAAGAATCCAAAAAGATAATCTTACGATGTGACTTCCCAGCTCTCATCCTTTGACGCCAAGTCCAAGTTGAACCTGTTGCAAACTGTAGAGATGCTGAGCTGCAGATATGATAAAACGCTGCACCACAGTGCCGAGAGCCTGTTGCCACAGGGCCAGGCGCTCCTGCTAAAGATCCCTCAGGCTCTTTTGGAAGCAGAAGAACGACCAGCGAGACAGGAAATGGTTCAGCAATACATATTTCAAGCATGTTTATATAAGATTGTTTAAGTGAATGTGTCAGTAATTACCTTCTATATTATATAATGAAGGATCAATGCCGATGTGCTTGATCCCCTGAGGGTGTTGCAGCGATTCCGGCAGGATCCATGCAACAATGACCCATGGTATCCAACTGTTGGTGATTGCATTGGGCTCCCAACGAGTTCCAACACGAGCGAAGGCATGTTTACATCGTTCCAACACAAAGACTCTTGTTTCTTGGTCACATCGTTGGGAGCGAATTCGGCAGCTGGTTGTATACTTGAGCTAGCAAAGTTCGCCTCTATTTAAACCCTTCGATCTTTCTCGAAGGTGCAGCAGGGTGGCATCGTCCAAAGAACTGGTCGAAAACCCGGGTTCTGCGCTTCTCCACTCGTTGTGGAGGTCCCCGCCTTGCGGAGGTGTTGCAGTCGGCGTCCATGGTCCATTTGATGCCATTTTGGTGCGACCTAGCCGAGCCAAAGCAAAAGAGGTGCAGAACTTGGGCGGCACCATGTTTCACGACTGCTGCATTTACTGATAAGGCACTTGGCATACCCTCAACAGGTGCTGGGGAGTCGCGAAGCTTTGTGTCTTTGGGGGTTCTTTTGTGCGTGAGGGATAGATGGGACCATGACCTTGGAAACCTGTGAAACACTCCACCATTCCTGTGATTAATTTTGTTCACCACGATGAAGAAACACAGCAGAGCTGTTTCGTTAAATAACAAGAGGTCGTTGTGGGTATGTCCACCGTCGGTCAAGCCGCAAACAAAAGAATGAAAAAAGCATGAAGAAGCCGCATTCAATGTGCGGTCTTTTCCTTCCTATCTACACCACGGCGGTGGATGTTTGTAGGATCCTATGACCCATCGCATGTCAGTAACTCCAGTCTCATGGATGGTCTGGGAATGATCCTTTTACCTAGGTTTCTTTGATCAATGGCCTGGACGGACCGGTCTTTGCGTCCAAACTTTGCGCTGTCATGTGTGGTTCAGTTCGGTGTATGTCTTGGTGAAAAAAAAACGCGTGTTGTTTCTCCAACTTTCTTCACGCCAAAACATGGTGCGCGTCATGACGAGCAGGTTTCAGTGGACCAAAAGGGAGCCTTTTTCGAGGAATTCCTGGTCATTCGGTCGAGTCGTCCACGCCATCCACCATGGAACGAGACCGGTGAATCTGTCTTTCGTGTCGCCGGTCGCGTGTCGAGCTGCCCGCTCGGGACAACGGCGAATCTTTCGCGTGTCACGCCTGCCGAATCCGCAGGGTGGTGGCACATCTGAGACTCTCGAGTCCGCGGAAGGTTGAAGACGTTTGGAGCCGACCGACGTTTGGGGCTCCGAAAGAACCCAGGGTGGAGGAAGGGGCGTGGACTTCCGGGGGCCCCGGCGGGGGTGGAGGTTCGTCCGTTCGACGGAGGTTCGTCCGGAGCTGGGCAGTGCGTGACGGGTCCTGAAATTGCATATACTGATATCACGTAATGTCCACAACGAAGTGCAGGATAGGACACTGACGAGGGCTGACAATTGGAATTTGAAGCTAAACCAGGCCCCACAAGGGGGTGGTTCATAAGCATTTTAAAGGGGAACGTTCATGTTTGTCTTGGCCGGATTGACATGTTGATGCTTGGGACACAAGCGGATTCTTTCTTTGGGATGCTTTTCCCCTGCAACTACTACTTCGACCCTCAGATCCCTGGCAGAGCCATTTCGGGTGTTTGATGGTGTTTGTTGTTTGTGTGAATATCAACCTCATCACAAGGAATGCACGGAATGAACAGGTCCAATGCCAGTCCTTTCATCTACACTCCGACAGCCTGGATGGCATGCCTCCTGGGACCACAATGCTCCTTTGCAAACCACTTCCATGTTAGGGAATCCAAGTGTCATGTCATTAGTTTCCATGCAAAAGACCGGTTGACAAACAAGAACTCAAACTCATAAAAACTGCTCGACCCAGTGACCGATAGGACCTACGCCATTTTAGTCTGACTTCTTGTGCAAAATTGCTGCTTGCTTAGCTCAACAGCTCAAGCTGGAACTTTCAGACGAAACACTATGGACAGCACGGTCCATGGTTGTTGTTTTTGCAAGGACAGGCATGCCACCCCCTTCCTGGGAATTATTATATAAAGTAAGCACACCACACACATATATGCAGGAGTCAATTTATAAGTATACCTGAACCATCGTTTGTAGCACTTTTTTTTGGCGAACATTGGTTTTGAACACTTTTGTCAGTTTTGAGCGCTTTTTGAATACATGAGCGCTTTTATAGATTTTGGAGACTATGAGCACTTTTTAGGATTGAGGCCAAATGAACCTGATTGGTCTGGGTTGTTGTCCTGGTTTATCCAAGGTAAACCACGGGCTAGACCACTTAGGACCTTTGGATCCGTATGTTCCCGTGCGCGGCCCTGCAAAGGCCACAGGCATGTGGCTCCAGCTGCGAGCCTTGGGGCGTGGTGGCGCTTGGGTTTGTTTCCTGACAAGTTGTGGGGTCACTCTAGTATAATGGAGGCTTATGAGCCTATTGGTTTCAATATGTACAGTTTGGACCCTCACTACCCTGTGACTTCACTTCATCCGCGCTATCCCATGGCCAGCAAGCTTGGCAACCATCCCTGAGGTGTGGCTGTGCATGTTTTAAAGTCAAGCACTGCGTATTTGCAATCAGTCTTTTGAAGTTTTTTGAAGGGCTCTTTGCGGCTTTGCTGCTGCATGCTTTGCTAGCTTCTGTTTTCCTCAGCCCCGACAGTTCAAACCTAGAAAGCTGCACTGCCGCAAGTGCCATGCCGGTGGACATCACACCTGTGCTAAAAGAATGGATGGATCAGGATGAGTTGGTTTCCCAGGCTGCAGTACACAACCTTGTGTCCATAGGCGTTGGAATGGACATTGATGCAGCGGAATCACACGGCATCTTGCTAGCCCCTGTGATGAAACATTTGGGAATCTCGTTGGCACATCCTGGACAACTTCATTCATTGAAAGTCACTACAGGGAGGGTGGGTGGGAGAACAACAAACAGCCTGTGCTCCCAAATGCTTAGGACTGAAGCCATGTATTCAGGTAGTCATGGACTTGGTTCTCTGCATGTATACGAATTGCAAGCCGTATGGGAAGAAGGTTCCCTCGAGTAACTTGCCTGTTTACATATCCAGCAAAGTTGCTCTCTATCCGGCGCTATCCTCTGTTATGTGTATGTTTTTCTTGGGGGGTGCCCAAGGCACTACGATCCGGAAGCATTCGTGGTACATCCGCAGGCTTATCACAACTTGGTCAAGGTGGGCAAAACGTGGGTCTTGTCCCCGTTCTGAGGGTCAAAGGCTGCTATTCGAGGCTGCAGGTATTCCCATCCCCGAGAGACTTTGGGCAGCAAGAGGTACAACTGTTTAGAAAGATTATGTGATGTATGCTCTGCTCAAGTTGCTTTTCGTGTGAATCCTGAGCGCTGCATCCTCACCCAAGGATCTGAGTCTGGAACCACTGAAGGTGATGAAGATGAAGATGAATATGAAGGGATGGAAGGAGAGGAGGAGGATGAATTTGAGGATGATGAGTGTGTAAATGGTGATGATGTTGCTGATGAAGATGGTGAAGATGAAGGTGATGGTTGTGACGACCATGACGATGTAGAGGCTGAAAAGGTGGTGACCACAAATGAGGCTGAAGTGACAAGGTGCGATGAACGTGTTCCTACGCATTCCGAGGCCGATCTGATTTGGGTGGACAACCATTGAAACATAGTTGGAACTGTCAAACCATGTGCGGACATGATGTACATGCCATGGTGTGCACGTGTGTCTATACATGAAGACACTCTGTGCAGCTCGCAGGAAGTGCCAAAGTGTGGGGATCAACCGCCTGATCAATCAGAGGTTCTTGATCAACCTGATGGCCAAACGGTACCGACTTGCTTTAGCCAATGTCCCAGTTTACCTTTCTAGACACGTGTGCAATGCATGGCTCCATGTACCTCATGTGTGCCCCAACGTGGTTGAGGCCCCACACTGGCAGTGGCAATGGACGTGGTGGTCACACCTCCGCCAAAAAGATGCTCTTTGGCACCAAGTGTGGCAGCTTCCAACCCAAACAGAACATGCTCCACTTTTTGATCAAAACAATTGTCCAAGTCCAGATAAAAAAATCCTTTGATAACTCTTCTGAGGTTTTGTTGATCGCAGGGGCTCATCTTCTTCGATCCTGTCTGGAGACAAGGTGGCTGACCCGAAGCTGGCTGAGCTTCAGGCCTTGAGAGAAATAGAGGAGGAACTGAAGCATCTCACGGCCTTGCATCTGATGAAACAACCCACGATCGGGACAATGGGAAACGACAGTGCCATATACGCACATATTTGCATCAAATCAATGCAATGGACCTTACTCACTTGAATGATCTATATAGATCGGTGTATATTTTTAGTGTATCTGTTTGATTGTCTGTTTGAAGCCAAGGTATGGATCCAATGGATCTAATGGACACGTTTCCTTTGTTGCCGGCCTACATGGATGACGTGGCAGAAAACCTAAAGAAAACATTGGTGTTTGAACCACTGCCTTCTTCAAAGGAATCACATGGTGATGAGAGTTCACCAAAGCCAGTTCCCATGGAATCAGATGGTGGTGAGAGTTCACCAAAGCCATCTCCCATGGACCCACTTTTGTCTTGCAAGCCTGATCAGTCTCAAGAACTGGCACCAGAAGAGGCCATCCCAAGTCAGCATCCAACCCCCAGTCAGCCACCTTGGCTCCGCACCCTGCAGTGATTGTCCCAAAGAAGCCTGCCATGGAGGATGAGGAGGCTTCGCTTGCTTTTGGAAACCCTCCTGGAACTAAACGTGAAACCCATGTGCATATACACGTGTTTTTGTTCAATTGCATCCTGTTTCAAACCCTCCTGGATCCTGAAGGCCAAAGCTTTGGAAGCCATCCGTGAGACTCCGCATATCAGCCCGCAAGAGCAATCCAAGCTCACTGCTGCCAACCGAGGTCGCGGACGGGGCCGGCCTAAGGGTAGTGGTAGGGGAAGAGGGCGGACCCAAAAGAAGAAAGATGATGACGAGGATGAAAACGATGATGACCCACAGGAAGAGGAGGGTGAAGAAGCAGGTGAATCTGAGGAGGCTGAGGAGGCAGAACCAGAGGTTGAAAAACGAGCAGCCAAACCAAAGGCCAAAAGATCCACGCCCACAGCCAAGTCGGTACCAAAGGCAAAGGCAAAGGCGCGCAAGGATGCAGCTGCTGCCGGTAGTCGCAAGCGCAGGGGAAGCTCAAAGGATGGGCAGGGAGGTGAAAAGGAGGAAGGGGCAGGTGACAAGGAGGGAGAGGGAGGTCCTAAGAAGAAGGCACCTAAAAGGGAGCTAATGCAGGAGCAGAAGGCCAAGGCGGCCAAGCGTAGTAGGAAGAGTTGCGCCTACGCAAAAGCGTTCAGGGAAGCCTTGGAAATCCACGGGGAGGTTGAGGCTAGGAAACGTGCAAAAATGGTAATTTGGTTGCATACAAGATTGCATAAATATAAGAATGCTTTGCAACAGGATTGATGCATGCAAAATGCAAAACCTTTTGAACAAAACAATGTGCTGCGCACCGCTAAGGCATATGCGCAAACCGAATGATGACTGGTAGAACTGTCTGAGTGGGCCTGTATGTTGAGGACCGGTCGTTTATATCTGAGACCTGGGGATGCAGCCAATGTAGCTGCGGGGGTGTGTCCCAGTTCACGGCCATTCCTGCCTCGATGATCTCCGAGCCGGGTTGGTCTTTGATCCTGGCTCGCGTGAGTTGAAAAGGACTCGATATGGCAGTGAGGTCCCTCAAGCGCGTGCCTGGGAATCCTCAGGCACATGAGTTCAATCATGCATCCGTACGTGTGGCCAGGTGATGCCAGCTTCCAGTGCGTGGCTTGCGCGGTGTGAGCTAGAAGGCGTGCCGTGGGTGACACGTTCACAAGTTTTCTGGGGAGAGGTGTACGTGGGGGAGTGCTCTTTGTACCCAGAAGCCTATCTGCTAAATGTGCTTTATTGCTCTAGATGTTAACTGTTTGCACTGTAGCAAGCATGAATCAAAACCGAAAGCGCCAAAATCAATCGTTTTTGGCACTTTCGTTTGTGGCCACCTAAGCACGTCTTACTGTGACATGTGTGAAGCAGCTGAAAAGGGTCAGGCTAGTTTGACAATTTGTGGCGGAGGGCTTTCGGCCATGGGGAGCTCGCTGCTTGTTCGATTGCTTCATGTACAGGCACCCAAGGCCTTGTTATGCGCGCGTGGCTTTTATTGAAATCTGAAAGATCAAATATATATATATATATATCTATATATGAAAGCGCTACATGCTTTTGAGTAGCCATATGATGTTTGGAGAGGTGCTGATTGCAACAGTCGGGGCCTTTGGTGTGTAAGACTATGAAAACCACATACACGCAATGGATCGCTTGAGTGTGGTTTTCTTCAACCTACAGCTGTCATATCAGGTGTATATGTGGAGACGTTTGCTCAGGTTCTTTTACTACTCTGGCAAGAAAACCTTTCTTTCGATGGTTCCCTGGACTTCTTTGAGCTGTTTGCGGGGCAAGCAGAGGTCACAAAGTGCTGGTGACTTGCCTACTGCATGAACTAGTGTACTACAAAATAGATGTACAGTAATTGAAACCGAAGAATTGTATGGCACCAGGGTTTGACATGCATTGGTCGTGGGGGTCGCACTACCGCGCAAAACAGGCATGCAATATCCCTCGGCTCAGGAGAGACCATGGCTTTCGATGCTGTAACATTGATTTGGAATACGCGGAATGCATGGACTTTGAAAGGAGGTCCTGCTTTGCGTTGCGGGCTCACTGGGGAGGCGAAACAAAGGGTTGAACTGAAATGGAATCAATTTGATCATCCCTGTTTTCTACCAAGACAGGTTGAGATTCTGATGGTTTTATGACTTTGGCTTTCCTAGGTTGTGCTTGTGGGCCATTCTCAATCAAGCACCTGATGGTGTCAACCTTCTTGCACCAGTTTGCGGAAGCTGGAGTACAGTTTCCCGTGGGAGTACTCTGAGGACATTCATCAATCCAATGGGTCATCAACAGTTTTCTTCCGTGGGGTTTGGCAACCGGATGACCTCAAAGTGCTTGGGCCTTTACCTAATGCGAGTCTAAATCGTGACCCCTACAAAAACAAAAATGATTCCTATACTCTCTGAGGTGTGTCTTGCTAATCTTGGTTATTCTTGCCAAGAACTTGATATTCATTCTGGAGCAGCCATCCCAGTCATTGATGCCACGGCACAAGCGCCTGGAATGGCTAGTGAACAGAGTGGCTTATGTTTCTCGACATGTAAAGAAATCGAGGGAACAACCCCCGCCGTTCCTCCCATTTTCAGAGAGTCATTTCCTACCAACATCACAGCAATGCTGGCCGCCCAGGTTTACGAAGTTCACTTCTGGCAGATGCACTATGGCAAGGACTGTCCAAAAAGAACATTGGTCCTCAGCAATTTGAGGACCATTGACATGTTGGACCGTGGTGTTCTCACGAAAGCCGAGAAGGATGTCAAACATACCCTTGAAACAACTCGTACCGCTCTTGCACTATAAGCTTGTGCCTTCATTTATTTGTTCTTTGCATGTCCCACCTGTTGAGGCAAATATATCGACCGGTCAGGGGTGGCCCGCTTTCAAGGAAATTGCAACCTAAAATCAACACAGTCTGCACCTCAAGTTCATTAGGTGAAATCCATGGTTAATCCACCTGCTCGCCCAGGGCATACACGCGAGCATTTGGAGAACGGCTCCTTGAACTCTGCCGGCTGGGAAAGGGTGACGCCAGGTATGACCTGCGCACACGTGGGAAATTTTCACAGGGGAAATCGGACAGGGAGCTGTTTGAGGATCTTAAGATTGGTGACATTTGGTATGAGAGTAAGTGCCATGAAACCTTCTTCTACCTCTACAGCAGCAAGCATGTCAGGACTGTGTGCTGTCTTGACGGGTGTTCACTTTTAGATACCTGGGTTTTACACCCCTTTGTCAAATGAACTGTCTAGGATTCCAGATTCTTGGGCGGTCAGTATGGAAAAGTTCAAGAAAGAACTCTCAGCGGAGGTGGGGACCTGATTTTAGCAGCACCTGTCTGACCCAATTTCTTGCTGCAGGTGAAGCTGGTGGAAGAGAACCCTGACAGGCAAACATGCCTCTAGCTGCTGTTTCTTGGAATTCTTGGGATGGCTTGGCGACCCAAAAGCTGAAGTTCCCAGCGCTATCCCTGAAAAACTGTATCGCTGTAACTTTTGGGTGGATATGTCACGGAAAAGAACCAAACTGGATACCCGCAATTTGAGCGCAAAAAACCGCAATGGGGCGCAAAAAGCCGCAATGGGGCGCAATTTGAAAAAGTGGCGGAACGGACGTTTTTTCTAGGCTACATGATCCATTTTTGATATACCTGTACCCTTTTAGGCTGCAAATCCAGCTGTAGTAGGGTTGCCGAGCACCTCATCCCTTTTCAATCCTTTTGATGCTCCAAATTAGCGTTTCTATCGACCTGTTGGTGTTATTTGACACCATTGAGACAACAATGGGAAAGCCAAAGCTGCATATGACTTGTGTGCTGCATGACTTTGGAGATGTGTTTGTGGATGTGTAGGTGTGCAAATAGCTGTGTGCACATATGGGTGTTTTTTGGGCTCAGGGGACGTCAAGGTTTCCAGGATGCAAGAGGCCAGCGACTGTTGCAGTGTCCCATCTCACTCGTGCGTGTCTTTGGCAAAGGGCATAGGTTTGGTTGGAGGGGAGATGCACGAACCAGCAGCGATGGATATTGATGCCATGATACAAGTACTTTGGCTGGGATTGCCCTTGTGGTTTTCCCTTGTTTCCCTGGTGGGTTTTTTAGGCTTCACTATTGCAATTGGCTAAGGCATCCAAGGACAGGATTGAATCAGCTCAGCGGCGGTTGGCCGACTTGCAGAGAGAGAAGACTATCGAACTACCTGAAACCCACCCTGAAGGCAAGGCATGATCTCCAGAGTCCTGACCTTGAATCCATACTGCGCATGCTGCATGTTTGCGTATACTTCTGTTTAGGTGCTCCGTACGTTGCCCGTGCTGATGGTGGATTTGTTGCTGGGAACGCTGTGACGCAGCTTGCTGAGTCTTCCATCCCTCCTCCATCACCTAGTGTGGTTACAGCTAAGTCCTCAGATTGCGAGCTTGTCCCTCCAATCCAGAGCAAAGAGGATTTGACCTTGGACTACATGGGGTGTGGGAACTCAGGGTTTCCTTCTGGAATGACTCCATCGCCTCAACCAAACTCACGCAAGCCCAAATCGCCACTGCCCGCCCCAAATGACCCTTCCTCAGGCACCCCTGGCAGCAAGGAAGCGATCGTACCAAAGGAAGCTGTGCCCGAACATCCCATAGCTCCCATGTCCAAGGAGACAACTTCCTCAGCCCAACCTGCTGCCGCACTACCAGCCACACCTCCCCCACCCCCTCAACTACCGGACGAAGGGGCAACTGCGTTTTTGGATGTGGCATCATACAGTGCATGTGCATATATGCATTTAAAAGTCACACCTGTGTACAGAATCCAAGGCTCAGGCGGTATGTGACTCCCAAGAAAGATGGGACGTTGAAATGCTCAAAGGACTGCTTTGACCTCTACCAGCAACCGGGTGGAAGTACCTTCTTTGCAACAAGGGCTTGACTTGAATAACACGAATACCACAATATATACCAACAGTGTTCCTCCTAGGTGCAAAACTGAAGGCATTGCTGACACGCCACGGACAGCTTGGCATAGTGGAAGCCTCCGTCAAACGCTGGATCGAACGCAAAGCACGCTTTGATAAAAAGGGTGGCTGGTACACCAAGATTTGGCTTGCTACTGAACGTCACTGGACGAAGTGTCGAGGTTGCAGTATAGCAGGTCTTGCAAGCTAGTGAGGTACACGCAGAGTACATGCATGTAGCTCAGGCCCATGATCCAGACTGCTTGGGAATGGGCAGAGAAACGTGGAAAGAAAAGAAAGAATCCGGTCCATGGGGAGGAAGAGATCTGTTTTGTGCTTGATGATGAGTTTTTGTTGAGAGAAGAAAGAGGGCAATCGTTGTCTGCAAGCGGCAGCTTTGAGATGGAGGACAGGTATTGCACACGCCGACGTATGAACATTCCAGCATATGACCATCCCACCACATGGTATGCATATATGTATGAGTTTGACATGGTAGGCGTGGAGCTGTGCAGGATCCTGACGCTGACTTGTTGGATGGCGTTGTTGTGCCAGAAGCTTCCGTCCATGCTAATGACGCTGCTAATTTTGCTGCTGACCAAATGTGTGGACATGAAGACGGGGACAAGAATGAAGCAGCACGCGCTGGCTCGTCTTCTTTCAAGTTTTTTGATGATATATAAATTGAGATCGATTAGGTTTCCTTCCACTTGTCCATGAACTACATCCTTGCCTTTGCCCAGGTTGCACTTCCCGAGTTTGAAGCAGAACGTCTCGCAGCTCTCCCTGCTCCCGACCTTTGTGGACGTTTGCAGCAAAAAGCTAGACAACAGTGACAAGGTCTTGGAGCCTGGGCTATTATAGCAGGAGCAGCCGGCGCAGCCAGCCACCAGTTTTTGCTTTCGATTATGTCTGACCGAGGAACAGCTTCAGGATGTGGGGACAGCGAAGGCAATTGAGTCTCTTGCCTTTTCACAACACCACCAGTTGAGTGTCTATTGCCATGAGCTGCAATTTAGGTAGGCGCTAGGTGTTGTTTCCTTGCACTGCTTGTCTATTATGACCTGAAGACGCATTTATTAGGCTGATTGGGCAAATGAAGACCGTGCTTGCAGAGCTGAAGAAAACCCACCAGCGCATGATCGAGATTCAAGCGGACTCGTTGGTGAATGTGGATAGGTAGGGCTTTGTTGTTCATTTGACAGGTTGAAGCAGCTGTTTGAAAGGGACCTTGTCTGGGGTTGGCCTGTTGTTCTTTGGCAGGGACTTCGAAAAGGAGTTGCAACCTCTTCTGACAACTTGCACAAAGTTGGATGTGACATTGAACAACTATGTTGTACGTGCCAGGTTGCAACCTTATTTTATGTCCGCATGAGTATGTGCAGCATAATGTATGTGTGCACTTGTGGGTGTCATCTTCGATATTTTTGAGGAGCATCAAGAAGCCCAAGGCCAAGGCCTCTGACTCCGGCAGGGCGAAATCCAAGGCCCAGCCTAAGAAAAAGGCGAAGGCCAAAAAGCAACCCCGAAAACGGGCTGCGCCGGCAGGTGAGGAATAGATGACTCCCAATTTTGGTGGACGCGTGATTGTGGCATAGACTGGAGGGTCATTCTGATCCTATGCATAACACGCTCGAGGTGTCCCATGTTTTTGTGGCCCTGATCCTCCAGCAGCTACTGCACTTCTGACATATCTCCAGATGGAAAAGGTAGTGAGTTCATTCCGACCAGCTGTCTTGTTCAGCAAAACACTTGGGCCTATATATATATATGCCGCCTATATATAGTACATATATATATATATGTAGTAATATATACTGGGTGGGCACCGTCTCCCTGGGCAGGTGAATTGGAGAAACGGCAATTGGACAGCTCCTTAGCTGCCTAGCTCAGAAGCTTGCAAAAAAAAACCTTGGTTTTGAGAAATACCCCCAAAGAGTTTCATGCGCATTCACCCCAAACAGCTTGAACAAAACCATCCTGATCGCCTAGGTTCATCAGAAGATGATGTTGCTGGAGAACTTATCCAGTCTGTGGAGCAGGGTTCAGTCCCTGCGTACAGGGCCGTGGAAATGGCTGGAGTGGTTCGCCGGAAGTTGCAGAAACATGGTACTTCAGCTTAAGTGTTTGCAATTCACACCAGCAAAACCTATTTTGACAAAAGGTGCACTGGTGTTCCAACTTAGGTATTCGCGCTGGGTGGATGCTATCGAAGCTAGCTGCACGGAAGAAGAGCCCAAACAATGCCTGCCGTAAATTTCACCACGTTGCTCAAACTAGTGGGAAAAGACTTCCTGTTGCCATTGATTGGGTTCAGACCCCAATCCGTACCATCACAAAATCCAAAGTCACAGAAGAGTTGGTGGACTTCCCAACACTCCCGCTCTCATCTTGGATGCGGGCCTCCTTCGACCTCGGCGGCCATATATTTGTTGGAGGGAAGGGCATGGATCACCTCAACCAGTTTTGTGATATACTTCATGATTGGTGGATCAAGTACCGCCGGCTGGATCCCAATTTGCCTGTTTACGAGGACTTTGATGAGTCTGACTGTAGGTTTCTCATCCCTATTGCCATCCATGGTGATGAGGGCCGTGGGAGATACAAACGACCTATCATGATATTTAGCTTTCAGCCCATCTTGACAAACTTCGAGGGCCAAGCAAACCTGAAAGGGTCTGGGTTGGTAAACATGTGCACGAAGCATGTTGTTTTTAAGACTTGTTTTGAACCAGTGTTCACAGGTTATGTTATATACATTGACGCTCCCTGTTAGGGCTACATATCTGAATCGTCTTCTTTTCACTGCAATCCCATCAAGCATGTACGCCAAGAGTGACAAGACCATTGATACTTTGGTTGAAGCAATGATCTCCGATTTCAACAGTCTGTACCAGCATGGCTTTCGAGTTCCTTACCATTGATTTGGGATATTTTCTTTTGGCTAGTTGGTACTTCGATTGAACACCCAGCAAACTAACTGAGATGTGTAGCATGGTGTAGCCTGTGGGTTCCAAGCACACATCCCAGGTGATGACTCCTGATGGACACGCGGTGGTCTTCAGGCCAGTTTATGTGGGCTTAAAGGGTGACTGGCCATATGTCAGGAAGATTGCAAAGTTGAGGACTGGCTTTCAAGCGACCATTCCCCGGAAGTGCCATTTGTGTGATGTTGAAGACTTTTTGCCTACACAATCGCAGTTTTTACTTTATGGTTTTGAATGACCGATACCCGAGTACGCGTTCCGGTCAACACGTTTTCCAGAACCAAGGATTGGTGGAACTTTTCTCCAATGGGTTCCCTCAGAAACCTTCGACCTGGCTACAACAACCCTTCCCCGTACAAAGATGACCATCTTCCTCTCAGTGATCTTCCTGGAGGTTCAGCGCCAGAAAGGCTACGCACTGACCCGATGCACACCTATGCCATTGGATATGGCAAAGATGAAAATGCCAGTGTGTTAGTGATTTTGGTCAAAGAGTGTGAACACTTTGGCCACCGGGGAAACCTCCAAAGCAAATTTGATAGGGCATTTGAATCATTTGCCACTTGGTGCAAAACTACCCGAAAGCACACCAGTATCACTGGCTTCAGCAAGAAGGAATTCAAAATGAGCGGGACCCTTGAATGCATATACTTTGTGCTTCATGTTTCATACAGCTGACCGTGTTCTTACAAGTTTGAGCCCTGGAGTAACCTAAACAACTGCTAAGGACGAACTTGTATCCCCGAGGAGGAGGAAAGGGCCACGATACCGGTGTTCTGGGTGCATGGCTGGAAACTGAATTGGCTACGGTTCGCACGGACTTGCTGGACATTTGGCGTGATTAATGCGATGTATATATATGGTAAATGATCCATAGCATAGTTGCCACGACTCCCCCAAGGAACCAAAACTGGTTGAGATTGTCCAAGTCATGAAGTATATGAACAAAGCGAGCTGCAAGTTTTGGCGGACCCTCTATGCCAATGGCATCTTCCTAGAAAGGGAAGCTGCAGAATGTGCGGTTGCTGCTGGATGGCAAATGATCGACCCTAGACTTAACAATAGACACCTGAAAATTGGTTGACGCAGTGACATCCGTATGCACTTGTCTATTTCAAGAGAGTTCTTAGGAAGCATATGCAAGCTTGGCGAACATGACCGCGCAGCTCTCTTGGTGCTACTTCAAAATGCGGCCAAAATGCCACATGCATGGGCATATTGTGCCACATGGTTTGTATGGGAATGTGAGTTTTGGGGTGTTTACTTTGTTGTTGATGCATGCATGTGTTGGTCGTACCTGATCCACGGCTTGCCCAGGCTGAGTATTGCTCACCAAGTTCAACTTGAAGGGTATGCAGTCAACCCCACTGTGTGGATGACGTGGCAGGATGAAGACTTTATTGGGAAAATTGCCCGGGCAAGCCGTAGACAGCATGCGCGCACGTGTCCAATCCGGACCATCCAAATGAGTTTAATCACGTACCGTCGACACTGGAAGTCGAGCTTTGGAATCAGCTGAGACCCCGACAAAAAGAGCTCCAAAGCTGATGGGGTTGGTGCCGATGTTGTAGTGTGTGTGTATGTATGTGTGTGTTGGCGATGGTTGATGGGAAGGGAAGGTTTGGAAGGGCTGGCCTTTATGGTCATGAGCGCTTTTTAAAGGAATGAGCGCTTTTTGAGGAAATGAGCAGTTTTTTTTTGAGCACTTTTTTCTGTATCGAATGATTCTTCAGGTAAGCATACGTTTGATAATCAATGATCGTTGACTCGAACGATGAGCACTCCCACTCCATGAGCCTTTTTGGGTCTGTAGGCTGCAACATTATGTGTTCTCTATGGGTTTGGGGTTCCAAGCCGCCCTTGCTACAGCGGGTTTTGGAAGACCGGTGTCCGGGTTACTCATCAGCAAACACAACAGTCCAACAGTGGGAATCATGAATCCTTCCTCATCGTTTTGTCCCGTGGTGGTCAGAGTAGATGCCATAACCTACATGTCGTAAAAAGGTGGGGATCCATATGAAGAGCTCCTTAGATGGGGATATGTAGGGATCCAGTACCGACTCTACTCTCCGTCTGTATGTAGGCCAGTACCGCACGGATCCGACCGCCATGCCGGTGCCTTCCTCGTGGACCACTCCCATCCGCGAGCTGCGTGAAGAGGTGACCCCGATCCGATCGACGGTAGAAGACGAACGGCCACTGCGCTGCAGACGGTGATGTGGGTTTGAAACGCTACTAGGAACAAGTGCCACGCTACTAGTAACAGGTGCCTTACTAGTAGTAACAAGAAGCTACTAGGAACAAGAGATATTCCATCCAAAAAATGGTCACCGTTCTGCACGTATCGTTTCAAGTAATTTGAAGGATCATGCTCAGTATCACCTGGCATCACCAGAAGGCCTTTGTTGGCATTGTGCTTCAAAGTATTGTCAATCAAATAATCAAACATGATGTAAATTCATGTCTATTCATGTCAATTCCCTTGAACTATCTTATACGCTTGAGTCCTTAAGTGGGGTTGTCTATGACGAGAGCCAGCCGTGGCAACATCGGTCGATCGTTGATTTCTACCAGCACTACCGAGTGAGGGGATCTTCATGTCTTCTTGCCACCAAGTCTTGCTGCAGGCTGCAAGTGATTCAGGATGTTTTTAGAAACCATCGGAACTTGCGAAGAACCACGGTTTGGTCGGGAACTGTTTTTTCGGTTCGGCTCGCCGAATCAAGAACCGTTCAGAAAGATCAGATCTGTTCGGGTCCCAGCATCCTTGGGCCTGAATGTAGCGTTGCCATGTCAACACTTGCAACATGCCACCTGTCACAAGCTGTGAAGTGCCTTGAGCACGATGATGTTGGTGGGAGCGCCTTTCGGAGCGCGTGACTGTTGTCACTTTCTGCACATGATATGAGGCGTAGAAGTGAGAAGTACCCGCAGGGCAGTGGGGAGAGCGGTAACCCTGCAAAGTAGTTGTTAGTCATTTCGTAAGTGTTTTGCACACTTTGTGCCGTTGGCTGCACAACATTATCAACGATGTTTGGATATTGGTGGTGTGTGGGGGGTTGATGACGATCGATTGCAAGTGCATCTAAGATGAAGCTACATTCACACACTGGTTGGAAGCTGGTGCGGTTTGGGGGGGGGGGAGGGGGGGGGGTGGGGAGTTAATAGCGTTCGATAGCAAGTGCATCTAAGATGAAACTACATGCACACACGCTTTGGAAGATGGGGGGGCTTTGGGTGGGGGATTAAGGACGATCGACTGCGAGTGCATCTAACATGAAGCTGCATGCACGCCAGGTACATCAAGGGCAGTTCAGAAGACTCACCAAAGAGTCCTTGTACAGTGTTATCGTTCACCTGTGCCGCAGACACCACAAAAGTTGAAAACATCATCAAGAGCGGCTGAAACGAAACAACGCACAAAACAGGGTAAATGAGTGACGCCGCGCTCCTAGGGCGCTCCGACCGTGTTTTTTGGATCAGTTCGTCTAGTTCAACGAACATGGATCGAAGAGAAAAAGTCCAAAACACCGAAGCTACTGAGGGATGTTACGGATTTTTTGTATACCAGCTTCTTCAAAGTGACCTTTTGAAGGTTCCTAAGTGACCCTTAGGAGGCTTAAGTGACCTCAAACCAGTTTATCAAAAGGTCACTTTGAAGAACCAGGTACTGATGTGACCAATTATAAAAGCCATATATACCCACCCATACCCAGATCACTTGCTACCCGATCTTTCCCCTTTCTCCAGGTACACCAGGAGCTCCAGAACTTTTCAGCTCGCCTTGCCGCCGTGGAGGCCCGTTTGGCATCACCGCTGACGCCCGGCGGCGAGGCCCGGCAACGGCGACAGAGCGTGTGGAAGACACCGACAGCGCAGACGGCGCAATCGGAGCCCTCCGAGGCCGGGGGAAGAGGGTTGGCGCATGGGGCGATCCCGAGGAATGACAGCTTTCAGAGTTGAACAATCTTTTGGCGTACTCCCTATTCCTCAGAAAACCCTTAAGGTTTTTGTTGAAATCATGTAACCTCAGCAGCCCTAGGAACGAGTATGTAGGTTAAACACCTGAAAGAGGTGGAGAGATGTGAACAGCTGGTTGCACCGGTAGAGCTACCTGGTTGCACCGGTAGCAGGCAGTACCGAACGTGAGAACCGAGTGAGGTCGAAGTTGTGATCTTCACAGCCAACCATGTGGAAGCTGGTGGCTGCTTGAGGGTAGCCATCCAGACAGGTCCAAGAATAGGATTTCCTGTTTTCAGGGTTTCACCACCATAGGGTCCAATAAGTATATCCACTTCATCATGGTGGAACTTCTTTGCATTTGCATAACGGGGCGGTAGTACGTCTGACGGGTGCGTCATGTGCGTCGGTGTGACCAGGAATTCGCAAAATTGCAGGTGATGATGAGAAAACACACGGGACGGACCAGGGAATGCCTTGTTTCATCATGAGTCAATGCATCGGCATTTTCACACATGTTGACGGAAGAAAGAAGACAGACCTGGATCGGTCTGCTCCCTTTTTCCAGAAGTCAAGCCATCTCTCAGTTGCAGACCTTCGTTTTGAAGCTGTGACCGGCCGTACCCGCTTTGTACCCTCAGGTGACTCCAAAATCCACAAACCGAAAGATTTGGAAGACTAACTCAGACGCGCCGGGCACTCCCTCGAACTATGTGGAGACCAACCAGCCGCATGAGACCTGGTTGAATGCGAATGAAGCAGTGACGCTAGGGATTGACGAGAGTCCCAATGCGGCTGGAGAAAGGATGTCTCAGGCCTTCTGATGAAAACCTGCCGCGATGTTTCAAATGGCTAAAGTTTTGTACACAATTGGGAATTTCCCAAGGTCATTGAACAATATTGAACATATTGATTCGATAGCTGCTGAGGATTAAACTATGTAATAAAGAATAGAGTGCTGTTTAAGATCCAAATAATGACAGCTTGTCACATGAACGTTGTACATTTGACAAGCTTCAGTTTGTGTGCATCCTACCGACCCCAAGTTTCTGTTCTTTGGACAATTGGACAATGACTCTGTTGAGGCAGGTTCCACTGAAAGTGATCATGGCATGGAGGAGGTGGAAGTGCATTTCGAGGAAAGTGCTTGGAGTATTCCAATGGTCCTTGGACTGGTCGATGCCGGGAAGTTTGACACCGTCTATGCAGTGGTGCTGCTCTTTGTCAACTGCGGCATGCAGATCATGTTTTCAGGCTCTCGCAACCTTGGATGTTGTCCCAGCTTGCTAGCAGAGTCTGATGGATTCTTAAGTCGAACGAATGGGTTCTGTCAGTCGATTCACCCCACGAAGATGGAGGAACAATGGGGGAGAAAAACGAAGCAAGATGGAGGACCAGGAAGAAGAAGAGTGTAGCTCAAGAGTGTAGAACAAAAGGTGACCCAAAGGCACAAGTAAGGGGGTTCTTCCTTCAATCAATACCGGAATCCATCCTGAATCCATCGAGGATCCCATACTTAAGCCTGTGCCGTCATTGGTCGGCGCTGTTTGGTGTGTGTTTCATGACCTGTCATAGTCGGTCAACAATGATCAGAAAAGGCCGAAAAGGGACGAAAAACACTGAACCATCATCATCCACTAGGCCCAGGGCATGGGATCGGATCTACTTAGAGTACTTTGAGTACTCGGATCCCCCAAATACCCAACAAAACCGAGCTCGGCGGCGGCTTCGGTGCTCCGTCTCGGTCCTCGCTGCTGGCAGGGATCTTGCTCTCCGATGGCTTCCAGGGAGAAGAGTTTAGCAACCAAGTGAAGCATGCCCAAGTGTGGCGAACCAGTGTGGCGCATGACTACAAGTACATGGATCCTTGGAAAGAAGCGTCGACGCGTCCGCGTGACACTCCAACGGTTGTTTTGTCTGACACAGACCCCTTAATTGGAAAGCATGACCGGGCTTGAAAGGATGGCAGGTCTGACGCTCAGCCCCTTCCCTTCTTCACCAGATAGTGAGAGGTATGGGGTTCTTACATGTCCTTACTTCAATAAACTTCAGTGGAAAGAGTTGGCTGTGTGCGCTTTTCGAGACCGGGTGTCGTTGCAGGTGCTGTTCAGGTGTCTTTGTGATTGCGCGGTGCTTTAGAGACAAGGTGTGGGTGCAGCTGCTGTTTGTGCAGGTGCTGTTGCCGGGTGTTTCTGGAATTATGCCATAGTGCGCTATTCCTTACTGTAACTGTAGCTGTTTGGATGCTTCAAGCGTCTGTGTTGTTTGGAGAAATGGTCCACAGCAATGGATGCTTTTCCCGACAGCGCAACTGAACTTGGACCAACGTGCTTGTCGGAGCGAAACGTCCCCGACCGGAATTTCACCATGAAAATGCTGAAACACCGAAACACCTGGATCCTTGAAAAACACTCTTTGGGGCCGGTGATTGTTGGTATAGAAAGCTTGCTTGGTTCCTTGGTTGCGACGGCGGTGGTGGTGGTGGTGGTGGCGGTGGTGGTGGTGGTCATGTGACGTGTTGGTGACACCACCATGGTGGTGCTGACGGTGCGACCGTGTTGTTCAATCCGAGGACTTGGCCAAGACCAGCCTCGTCGCTGGGGCTGTTTTTGAATGTTTTTCACAGCTCGCCCCAAGTCAAGGGCTGTCTTAAAACTGGAGAGATTCCCGAAGCATCGGTTTGTTCATGTTGTTTTAGCACTGTGACTGTAGAGACAGGACGTGTCACTCTCTACTGCATAGCGCCTGTTACCTATTATATATAAACATTGTAAACAGGACATCATCGAAGCAGAGTAGACATATTCAGACCCTTCTGACATATTCAGAGTCTGCTCAAACTAATGCACGGCGTTTTGCGATGAATGGTCCGATGATCGCAGCACGGGCTTTCCAGCTCCAGTCCGCCGCAGGTCACACGGGTTTGCACTGGTGATGGTGCATTGATTCTGTCCAATCGCCAAGCCACGCTGGTGGCACAGATCAACAGTTTTCTGGGTTTGCAAATGGACCAATTTGATCTCCCGGTGCTGCAGATCGGCACGCTCTTATGCACCTTGACTTCTCACTGGTCGCTCCGATCGGTCGCTCCGTCGCTCCGGTCATGTGACGGCTGGGAGAGTCGAGACGACCCAGTTTGGACGAAATGACCCGTCGAGCTGAGAGGTGCAGGGGATCATGTCAAACCAACGGCAAGATGGCAAGATGCGAACCAAAGGGAACAGACAGTGCTGTCTCCATCTTGACGAAACGACCCATTTGGTGAGTTTTGTGCCAAGGGTTCGGTGGAGTCTTTTCCCCACCTCTGCATTTCGACCCTCAAAAACGCTTGGAGGGTGACCACTGTTGGTGCTCGAATCACCAGCCATGCTCCCTGGTTTTGTTGCTTGGAAGATCTTGGAAGTCTTCCATCTCCCCAGCCATGCTCCCCAGCCCTGTTCCTGCGCCATGCTCCCCAGCCTGCCACACGTGGCTCACGGAGGCATCTTGTGCATCCTCTTATGGAGCCTTTGCGTTTACAAGGAGTTCCGTCGCATCTCCTTGGCCCTGGCCGGTGCCGTTCAGATTCCACGGGGGCGCTACACGCAGTTCCGAGAGGGCCAGTTCTTTGTGACGCTTGGGCCTTCGGTGTTGGGAGAAGACAAGGAGCCGAGCCTCTCGGTTGGTAGGTATTGAAGAGAGTCTCTGAAAGAGATTACTGGCATGTCACATGTCACATGTGATTTTTTAGACAACCAAGAGTACTGTCACAAAGTTTGGTATTACAGTATATATTCTACAAAGTGTTTCTACCATGGCACCGGTTTGAATTTCCTCTTGAAGGCACCTGTTGCAGTCAAGGGGGAATGTGTTGTGTTGGCAAATTGGCACACCAAGCATTGGGTACTTGCACGGGCTGGGGGCACTCGGAAAGAAGCTTCATGTACTGTAGCCCCTCGCTAGCACCTGCAAAACAACGAACGTTAAATACAAAACAAACACTGCAACAACTAGAAGAATAAACTAGCCATGCGGAATGATGGTTCCGCCGTTTGTGTAGCAAAGTGAAAGTGCCAATCACAAAAGGTGTCAACCACCAAAACGCAGCAGGCTGGCTGAATGAGAGTACGTTGATGCAATACGTGTATAGTGTAGAGCTTGCTGTGGTGGAGATTGCCAAAACGATCTAGATTGTTTTCTTTGCTTCTTCGCAGCTCTTGGATGAGCCATGACCATTACTTCTCAACACAGAAAGACCGCAGCAACTTTGCACCTGGTCCAAGATTTGTGATTTGTGTAGTCAATCCTGCTTCCAAAGATCCCTGCTCAAACATGTAGAATGCGCTCCTTCGTGGAGCTTGGTTTGATCCAAATCCCAACCTAACGGTCCCGTTTTGGCCATACTGGTCGCCAGGGTTGTTTTGTCATTAGCCAAGTGAAGGACCGGCCAAGTCCCACAGGGATGTTCAGGTCGGTCCCGAAGATGGAAAACCCCTCCGACCGAGGATTTCTTGGGGCCGCTTGAGCCTTTTGCTCTTCACCTACTTCACCCGCATCTGGCCGGCATGGGGTGGTCTTCCAACGCCCGTTCACTCCCAGAAACCGATCGACCTGGGTCAAGAGGTGGAAACCGTTTGGCATTGCAGGGCAAGAGAGACTTCCGCTTTCATCATTCAACTCTCTGCAGGATGCTCTCTCCTGGGAAACCGCACCGAAGGGTTTACCATTCGTACCATTGAGATCTATGGACACGTGCATCAGATTGTTTGTATGTCAATGCATGTTGGCACGGCCACAAATTGTGCGCGAGGGCGAAAGTTCAACAAATGCCTTAATTTGTGAACTGAATGCAGGAGAAGGAGTGGGAATCCTGATGTTCCACGGGCCCAATGAAACGTAATTGTTGCAATGGCTACTACAGTTTTGATAAGAAGGACAGCCCGGGCAGTACTATGCACTTTGGGCCACACTGCTTTAAAGACCCTTTGTATTGTATATGACTTCTGCGTGAATTAACTTTGAATCAGGCTGCTTTGGCCGAAGGCAAGAGTTCCAGCGAGCATGTGCTGTTGCTTTTCCTGGCAACCAACCAAAATGAGAGAGCACTGTTCAACGTGGAGATAGGTGCACCTGAGGTTCCAAAGGGTTCATCATATCTCTGCAGGGCTTTCGCCGTGCAAGCGCTGGAGTCTCAGTGTTGCCCCGTCGTGGCTTATCAGACAAGTTCCCTTTGTCCTGAGCCCTGAAAGTGCGGGCAAGATATATTGAAATGAAATGCAGCCTTAGCCTTTACAGACAATTCAGACAATTGATTACAGTTTGTTACGGGCTTGAGTGAGAAGACCAAGAATGGCCGCAATCAGGTCTGTTGCCTCCAAGGGTTTTGAGGAAGCGGCGCGCCATGGAACATATATAAAAAGAGCACTTTTAAAAAAGGGGCACACACACATATATATATATATATATTAGACAGACACTTTTGTAGGGTCTTGTCATCAGGCCAACCGCGTGTACCCTGTACTTCTTTGGAACAAGTGGAGATGGATTCGCCTCATTCCATTTGGCCCCACATGCATCGATTGGCAAAGGGTCTATCCCACAAATGTTGGAAGGTCAGCATGGATCTCACCGCCACTTCGTGTGACGGACATCACAAGCCAACAGTTGCAAGAAAGAGGAAACGTGTTTGACCTGTGTGCAGAGTTTGTTGAATGTGTTTGCGATTTGAGTCAGATGGCAGCCATAAGAACATATGATAGTCGTTTCTTCTGCTACTGACGTGTTTGGTGACGCTACCCTAAGATCTTTATAAAGAGGTGCATTTCTTTAGTGATTGAAACGAATGTATGGAACGGTTTTCAGATGTTGTTTTTGCTGCTTTTTTGTTTTTGCTTTTTTTATGTGTTTGCTGTTTCTTTTCGTTTTCTTTGCTTTTCTGCGTTTGCTACTTTTGGTGCTTTGCTGTTTATTTTTTATTTTGCTGTTTGTTTTTGCTTTCTCCCTTTGCTTTTGCTTTTACAGTTTTGTTTGCTTTTGCTGCTTGTTTCCTTTTTCTATTTTTTGCTTTTGGTGTTTGCCTTGGTTTTGGCTGTGTTATTTTTGGACTCAGCTCGTTTGGTTTTTGCTGCTTTGGTTGCTTTGGTGCTTTTCTGCCCTTGTTGCTTCTGTTGAGTTTTGTTGCTGTTTGGTCTACTGTGCTGCATTTGTTGCTGTTCGGTCTGCACTACTGCGCAACTTGCACACACTCGTGTTTCATATGTTATTTAGCTACACAAACACATATTAGACAGAGAAGCTTCACTACGCTTTGCGCATATGTATGTCACGGTTGTTTTGCAGTGTTGATGGGAAAAGACACTGACGTACAGCACTGCTTGCATGTGGTGCTTACAGGACGCATCAAAGCCAAAATTTATACCCGAGGGTTAAATTGAGAGGAGGTAGGAGCCATGCCAACGCAGCAGCCCTTTTGTGAGCCACCCGAGGAGGAGGAGGAGGAGGAAAGGGTCATTCCAAGGTGGCAGACCTTTTGTGAGCCACATGAGACTAAAATTTAGAGGAGGTAGGTAGAAGCCATTTCAATATAGCTGTCCATTTGTGAGCCTTGCGCAAGTGAGGTGAGAGTTGTGTGCGCAAGTGAGTTGCGAGCCAACAACAACAAGACCACCAAAATTGAGAGAAACAAAAAACCATGACACAAGGAAACATCCAAGCACACGCCCTTCCCCCAACCTCCCAGCGCCGCGGAAACGGCGTTTGGAAAGGTCGACCACGCTCCACTGCACCGGCCACCAATGCGAAATCTGCACCGCTTCTACCCATGTATTTTGCTTGCTACGACAGGTGTTTCTCTTAAGTGTCAGCCCTGCTGCCGAAACTGTTTCTCTTTCAAGCTCAGCCACTCACTCCGCCTTGTGTCCGCAATGCGGTTCCTGGTAAAGGACACTATGTTGCCGCCAATAGCAGTGAATTGTGAGCCCCAAGCATGTTGAAAAATGGAACGAATCAAAAGTTCACCCTCTTTGTAAGTAGTCACTAAAAGAAAGGTAGGCAAGTACCGGTAAGGTGCAACTGTTGTTTAACAATTTGCGGCTAGTCAAGAGACCATGCGTACAAAGATTGAGGACTCGATCCTCAGATGAAGTCCTTGCATGATTGATCCAGTGGTGACTGCTCAATCAGGCATTGTGGTAGCATCCGTCTTGCTGGTGGCTGGTATTTTTTGGCTAGCGCGCACCGTGTCAACTACGGAATTGATGCTCAATGCCGTAGCACTCAATGCGATTTTGGACGCTTGGAGTGGTTTTATATCACATTGTTTTCCTAGTGTCTTTGTTGTGTTTCCATGTCTTTTTTAATTCGGTTCTGTCCGGATGCATGCCTGGCATGATCTCCAGCAGCCAAGGATGTGGATGAGTTCCTTTTTTCGGGGTTGACCCCCATGAAGTTCCAACATGCAATTCAAAGCCTGGCCCCAATGACACTGACCTATAGCAAACGGCGCAGCCAGTGGGAGTCCAGCGTTCAGTGTTTCATGCTCTTCGTGACCATGTGGTTGCCGCATCCGGGAATGCATTTGTTGACAAGTTTGCGAGTGGTGTGAACGGCTGATTTCCAAACCGCGTATATCGCGGGGTTGGACAAGCAAGTGCCAGTGAAGGAAAGTGAGCCAGATGGTACTCCATGGCATTCCGACAGTCAGACTGCCCAGCAAGAGGCGTCACGAAGATGTCGAGGGCGCGTCCATTTGGACCTTGCAAACGGTGTCCATGTGAGATCAATGATATTGATAAGTAGTGTAAGGTCTTCCATTGGTGACCCTTTTGAAGGTGCTGGTATATTTACAATTTGTTGTGTGTTTTTGGGTTTTTCTTTGCTTGGTCGTTGCTCTCTTGAGTAATTACCCACTAGATCCCACTAGTCAGTCCCTCCAAATGGCCCAAGGGAAGTCAATGACTCGCACCGTTAGCAGAATGGCATTCAAGCGGGTTGTATTGACCTCAAGAGACAAGCGTTGTGACATAAACCCGGAATGACTGGGTGAGATGTTTGGGATTCCTGGTGTTTGTCGCGTCCAACCTGCACCCCACCCCCACTTAAACTGTGGAGCCTGCGCGATCGATCTCGGATCACCACCAGGTATGCCGGGCTCTTGAGGCCACTCTCTGTGACCATGCTCGAAGTGAAGGAAGAACTTTGTGGTGGGACGCCTTCTCGGAGAGCCAAACGGGGAGGATGTTGTTATTGGGACTGGTGGGGCATGTTCCGTCATTGTTTCCCAGAGTTTGTTTAAGGTTATATATATATAGGAAATTTTGTATGTATACCATGGTTTTCACATTCTGTTCATCCCCAAAACTATATGGCATGTTCCCTTAAACTTACTTCTGGGCTTGTTGCCGAGTCGCTCCGCTCGTGCGCCTTGGTCGCTCGTCGGAAAAATCCGTCACCACGGCCACACGACGGACGTGGTTTTTCCCTTCACGTCTTCGCATGTTTCCCTTCCTTCGTCCATTCGTCCGCACGCACGGTTCAGAGCTTGAGACGAGAGTGGCGACAGCCTGGTCTGGCTGGTAGAGGCCATCACGGCGGGAAGAGGGGTCGTCCGGTCCATGCGTCGAGGTGCAGCGAATGCGAATGCCGTCGGGTCGAGGGAGGAGAGTTCCGTCGGCACATCCTAGTCAGTTCAGTCTACATGCCAGGCAGATGCGTGAGATGCTCCACAAGCTCCCCCCAATCTAATTAGTTCATGGATCTTGACGTCCTGGGTGTTGGTCGAGCAGTGATTTTGGAAGATTTGGTTGATGGAACCCCTTATGGCAGCCATGATGTTTGCTTTGTGTTGTGAAATCTCCATTTCTGGAGTGAATTCTCCGATTGTCACAGCGAGCCAACCTGCCGGAATCCCATCCGACCTCCGAGGAACCAGACCTTCGTGGTGTCTCATAGCGCTGAAAGCCAGACCCCTGTCATGACCAGACCGCGCGGACCGACCGCGCGGGTCACGCAGGGTCTTGGTGGGGCGCTGGTCGAAGTGTGGGTGGGAGATTGAAATTGGATATGCGGGAGATGTACAGTAATGTTTATCATATTTCTGCATTCTGAGCATGTATGTTTGAGGAACAGCGGACCCTTTCAGGCTGCTGATTGTCATCCCAGTTGTTAGAAATATATTCCTACAAGATCCTATACAAATATTCCATAATAATATTCTGAGACACACTTGCTTGATTGAACACCTCCACTTGCTTCCACAAGAATCTTCGCCTTAGGTGCGAAAGGCCGCGAAACCACTGAAAAGACTATCGGCACAGGTTGAGATGTGTTGAGATTTGCAACAGGATCCATGACACACCAGATATCTCACCGACATCAGCCGTTTCCAGCCTGATTTTGGCCCCGCAGCCCTTTTCGGAGCTTGCGCGATCAGGATCACCTTTGGCTTGGTCACTGCCAGCGGTCGCGGGAACTTCGAACAGTTGACGGTGAGCGAGATGGCTGTCCGGGAACACAAGTTTCGAAGTCCAGGGGAGACTCCCGAGGCTGTGCCACTCGGTTGTAGTCGATGGTTCATATGGGGGGCCAAGGAGGAATCAATGACCCAAAGAAGACGGGGCTCTCAGATCACAGAAGCCAGATCTGTAGGTATTCGGAGACAGACCCTGGCAGGCGATCATTTGTTCCATTTCCAAGATTGCTTTAATCTCGGATGTTCTCGGTAATATTGTCTTTGGTGTATAAAGAGCTCAGTAGTACTCAGTTTGTGAGCCTGCATCCGCTCATGCACCCTGCTGGACACCTGCACAGCAGCAAACTTCAAGATTGACCCCAACGAAAGCCCACTACCCACTAAGACTACAGTTGTTGGAAAATTGTCAGGGGAAGTGTCCGTTTCAGGGTCCATGCTACTTGTTGGGAGGGGCCTGGACAGGCCGATTGTGGCTGCAAGGAATGGCAGAGGAAGGGGATGGTGCAAGGCGTGTCGTGTTTGAGTGCTAGCAGGGCTTCCAATCAGAGATCAAGTGCCGACAACAACCTCTTTTCCACTGGGAGCTAGCATATTATTATTGGGGGTGGACTGTAAGTGTAAACAATTCACCGTCAGGTGAAACTCACGGAAAAGTATATACTTCAAATCTGAAATGTATTGTAAATTTGCTGGACCAATGATGTATTATGTATGTCATTGTTACCAGGCGAGATCCGGGAATGCCGTTTCGGCATCATCCATCCGGTTCCGAACAGCATGAGCTTTCTCAGTCATGGATGTAAAACGAGTGTTCAGGCAAAGTCTCAGATCCCGTACAACCAGGGGAGAAGTGACCAGCGTTCTTTGTTTACTGTTGGAAACACGAATCGACGTAGTTCCCAATGTCCCATACTCCCGAATGCGAATGTTGCAAAGCATGGGGTATTGAATGCCAATGAGCGGTTTGTCATGTCAAGATGATGCAGTGTATAGTATATGTGTATATATATATATATGTTTTATCTTGTTTTTTTTTGGTGGCCCACAAAACCATCACAAACCTCTTACCCACTAGTATATGGCGCGTGGTAGAATCTGGTAGCATAGCAGGTCAACTAGACCATAGCACCATAACCATTCTTTGTGGCCATGGCGGCTAACTCTGCACGCCATTTGCTCACCGAAGGGCTCAGGTCGATCCTGTTTGGAATCCATGGTGACTACCCAAACAGCTGGGTGATCGACAGGGTGTCCCTGTTCCTTCCATCCACATAATTGAATAAAAGGATCAATAAGACACGGATGAGAAAAGGCCAACATCGCCAAAACCGGAGGCCGAAAGGATCCCGACGAGGGCTCCACCTCTCCGTTCGTTTGCAAGGTACATCTCCTTCACCTCGGACGAAGATCTCTTTGGCTTCGACATTGCTCGTTCGATGACGGAGACAGCGGCCTTGTATCCCATTTGCCACGCGGCGTGTGAACCGAAGGGCGGGGCAGGTCGGCATGTTTTTGGTTTGTTTCAGAGCGACTCAGATCGACCAAGCAGCGTTTTGAGAAACCAAGCCACATGTAGACCTCTTAGGGGTCAGAATTCACCTGTTGCAACCGATTGCAAAACAGAGTTTTGTGGAAGAGGATTCACACCCGGGCCGCACCTAAAGAAGCTTCTGACCTCGGTTCGATGAAGTTCGGAGTATTTCAGGTGCTTTGCTCATGAGCTGCAAGGATCCTTTTCTCAACTGCTGCAAGACATATCTGGAGAGTTTTCTCGACTGCTCGAAGTTCCTTGTTATGTCGGTATTAGGACTCGGTTTACAACGGACGCCCGTGGTCCGTTATAGTTTGGTCTCGGAGCTCTCGGCTCGTCTCGGCCCCCAAAAGGCATATTTTCACCAAAGGACTCTGTGCGGGTTCCGTCACCTGGAAGCGATGTTGCTCTGTAAGGTAATTAGATGCTCTACAGGATAGTGCTTGATATCATGTGCATCCACAGTCACAATGTTGATTCCTGCGAGTGTTTTTATCCTATTTGATAACAGAAACCTTTGCTGCAGCTCGTTCTGTGATTCCTCGAGGCAAGGTGGGCACACAAAAGGAAAACAATATGGTCCGCACGACTATATATGCATGGCATATATGCATCCCGAAATCTTACTTGCAGGTCTTTGCCGGTCTTTGTGATTTACGCCCTGGAAGAGACCCACATGAGATGGTCACTGACAAAAACATAGTGGGTCGATATAATAGGGTTCAATCGTTTTCCCTGTCAGATCCATGTCGTCAGGTTCCATATGTGTCTCGTTTTTTGGGGTGTGAAACTGAACAGGCTCCATCGGTTGTCCCGCCCCTCAGGCCTCGAGACCGACGTTCTTGCCATGGGTGGCTCGCTAAGTGGCGCGGCAGCCGACATCATCGCGGTTCCGCAGAGCGTGTCGGCGTCCGTCCAAAATAGTGGGTGGCTATACCAGGACCCTCCAAGGGGTGCCCAATGGAAGCCTATAGGTAGTGTGGGGTAGTTCATTGGACACCCCTTGGAGGGTTTAGACCTTTCAGGCTTTTTAGAGATGATTCCCAACAACTAACCAGCCCAGCTAAGAAGTTAAACCTTTCACAGATTCACGTCACGACGCAACATTGCATGGAACTCCATTTCGATCATGAATCATGGGTTTTGCTTGGGACTGCCATCCAACTTGGAACCCATTCCGAAGGGAGGGAAAGACACGAAAAGATGCGCGCACAGACATCAAGAAGAGTCCCTGTTGTCCTCATTAGCTCCACACGCCACCAACGGGCCGCCTTTGCACGTTCAACGGGCCAGCGACCCCAACCCGGTCCCGACCGTGGAACGTGACGTTTGACGTGCAGGTAATGACTCAGGGATTGGTGGCGGCGCGCGGCTCCTGCTGCGCCAAGCGGCCGCAGTCTTCGGCATTGCGGGCCACTCGGGTCGACCGCAGACGAAACTACGCCTTCGGTGCCTTCGGAGCCACACGTGTCACAGAAGAATGTTTGATTTTTACCGGGCATGATCAATGAATGTTGCAGCTATTTATTTTAAGCTGCTATAAGATAGATAATAAATACGGTCTGTCGACACGTTGAAAGCTTGCAGGGTGCACTCTGCGAGACTCTCCTGCGCCAGATGGTTCCAATGGACATGGGTTTGTTCACTGTGTTTTGTTCACTTCCTAGGTGGTTTAGGGTTTTCTCATCATACTCCATGTCAAAATATATGTCATATCTGGTCATCCAGACTATCCGCTGCAAACTGGCGATTGACATGAACCGGAAGACCTGGAAGAAATGCTTTCGAGGCTTTGGACCTCACGAAACCTCCGGAAAAACACTGGCATCGTGGACCTGGCTCACAGATGTGTTGTCATGGTAGTATTGACATGTATATTAGGCTTAGTGCTCTCCCGAGACTGGACTGAGGTGACAAGAATCTTCCGTGTGTGTTGGTTGTTTATCCAATTTCCGATCGTTGAACTTATTCGAAACTGGGTGAAGGACAAGAACTGCTTAGCAGGGTGCCCCGTTGGAGCCTGGTGAAATAGAGGACACAAGGCGCCCGTCTTTTGGCCGAGGGTGCCGCATCCATCCATCCCAAATGGGTGGTGTATTCTATATGTTGAGAGGACCCACAAGCCATATGGGTCGACAAAGGGTCTCATTTGTTGGGAGGTTTGTTTGTTTTTGAGACACCCAAATAACGCTGCAAAGGGAAGATTCTTTCGATGGCGCCAACCGGAAACGGCTCCGCGCCACGCTCCGCTCCGCGACATGCTTCTCGCTCGTTCGCTCTTACGGCTGGCCGCTTCTCGCCAGATGCCGACAATTGCACGGAACTTCGGGAGTACTGAGCCTTTTCAGCACGGTTCACTCGCGGGATGCGTGGTTCAAAACAGGATTCCAGGGTCAAAGTCACTTCAAACAGTATCATATAGAGATTTATAGCGTATCGACTTAGAAAAGAAACGGGTTCATTCATGTTCATGTCATCCGATCAACTGGGACCATGGGAACCGGGCATAGGACGTCCTTATCCAAGCCCCCTTCGTCGGGACCATCCCACCCGTGGAACAGGAAACTCCACCAGTTGGTGGGTGTCGACATCGGCGGGCATTCCATCGCACCAGGTCGGCACTCGTCCAGGGTTGGTCGGTGTCGGATCATCAAAGATCATGTTGGTTGAGTCTGCGATGATGCGCGATGATCTGCGATATAGGTATTTTTTGATACACCCTGGGAAGACTCACAACCCTGAAAACCACGGGTAGAGGAAAACAATCCAAATTCGGTGGCCACATCTTCCGGGTCTATGTTAGTCGTCAAAAGTGTATCTATCTTAGTCGTCTATCCCGAGGTTGGGTTCAACAAGTGTTCTCGGATGGACTCCCAGACTCCTACAAATCAAGGGACGCTGGAGGTTGGCGATGAAGGAAACAGTTTGAGAGACCACTACCATTGAACAAGAACGAGTGTCAAATTGACGTGTGTATTGCAACACGAGGTAATTGTTGCCGTTCTTTCACGGTCACTTACCTTTCAGAACTGCTCGTCATTTTTGATGTCAGTTCAAGGTAAAGACTGCGGCAATGCGGGTGGTTTGATGGGTGTTCAGCCTGGACCCTTCGAGTACCCTTGGGTTTGGTTGCTGGTTGCTTTGTTTTGATGCCCAAGACTCTTGTTCTCCTGAGGATGTCTCAACATCACCTGCTACATCCTACTACTATACCTATACTACCTACTCCTGTTCCCAATACAGCTTAGACCTTTTATTGTAGGTATCATTTCTGGGTTCACCATTCGATTCAACCGTAACAAGATATCTATTACGCCCCACCCCGCTAACATGGCAACAGTAAAGTGGAAAAGCGTCAGACAAAACTGATGTTCCTCGAGTTCCACAGTGTCCACTGAGCCGTAGGTTACTTATTCCTGTCTTTCTTTTCGGGATCGATGGGTCGTTCAAACTGGAGCCCTGGACCAATAATATAGGGTTATCCTGCTTTGGATCCACAGCCATGTGTACAGATTTTGGAACCCTTCTTCTTCCAAGTATAGATACTTGATCAGTTCCCCTGACCACCGATTCCTTCCATTCTGCCGACTCGTGTTGAGGTGACGACAGTCATGGCCGTCTTCTTCGATACGCCTGTGGGAGCACGTGCAGATGCACCGTTGCTCGGAGGAACTGTTGCCGTTTCGGGTCGACAGAGCCGTTGCGAGTCGGCGGAGCGCGGCTTCATCCGCGTTGGAGCTCCGGTGGAGGCCCTGAGCGACATGGCCCGACCATGTCTGACCGGTATCAGATTGTCAGCGACCCACCTGTCAGGTGAGGGTTGTTAGATTTATGTCAGCTGTTTGACCTCGTCCTCCTCGTCCTCCTCCGCGTCGTCCTGAACCGCGAGCCTCGGCTGGTAGTGTTCCCCGCCGGGTCTCAACCGCGAGCTTCGGCTGGCAGTGTTCCCCGCCGGACCTCAACCACGAGTCAGAAGATATGCCAGATAGAACGCCAGAAATGTGAGAAAGAACGTCAGAAGATATGCAGAAGATATGCCAGATAGAATGTCAGAAGGAACGTCAAAAGATATGAAATGCCAGAAAGAATGTCAGAAGATATGCAAGACAGAATGTCAGAAGAGATGCCAGAAAGAATCTCAGAAAGAATGCCAGAAGATACGCCAGAAAGAATGTCAGAAGATATGCAAGAAAGCATGTCAGCAGATATGCCAGATAGAATACCTTGAAGAATGTCAGAAGATATGGTGGAAATAATGCCAGAAAGAATGTCAGATGAAAGAATGTCAGAAGATATGCCAGAAAGAATGTCAGAAGATATGCCAGAAAAGGATGTCAGAAAGACTGTCAGAAGATATGCCAGAAAGAATGCCGAAACAATGCTTCAATGTCCCCACCCTCTTAGCTGAGGAAGATGGAGGGCGACATGGGGGGACGTCAAAAAATGTAAGTTACATTTTCTGGGGGGTGTATAAATGTATGTTGCCCCCCCCCTACGTGGCTTTAAGGGGGGGTTGATGTGACACTCACACAGTTTGTGTTTCATTTGATTGCTTTTGCTGAATCTTGCTGAGAGCTTTTGTGCTGATCATTATCAACGTCAAAAAAGTAAGCTTACAATATTGAAGCTTGACATCAAAATGTAATCTTACATTTTTGACCCTGGACTTATGGACGACCCCCCCCGCCCCCAAAGAATGTAACTTACAATTTTTCAGGTCCCCCCCTTGATGGGTAGGGATGTTTCAATACATGCTGGACAATTTGTCAGATTGAAACGTCATGGTGAGTGAGGACCACTCGAAGTAAAGTAATAGCATATTTTGGGAGCCAAAAGTGTTTCGAATGCTTGAGCCTGATAACTAGATAAACCATGTTTCAGCCCTACCAATGACCAAAATGTGCAACAAACCGGGCCGGCACAAGGAAAGTAGATTTGCAAGAATCTGCGAAGATTCACTAAATTTCACCCATACTCAAGATGCGATATGACATAAGACAAACAAACAAAACATGTAGGCAGGTGCGGCACAGAGTCAATCTCAACAAGTCCATGGTCCCAAAAGAGTTTTGGTTTAGTTAGTCTACGATGTTTAACGTTTAGAGTTCCCCACATTTGGAGGGGGTTGGACTGCATTTCATTCAGCCAATTCTGACTGCTGGGCCCGCTGGGCCCAGAATGCCTCGACTCAGCCCACGCGCCGCGATGCGCTTGCGGCACCTCCGAGGATCCGCTGGCTTCGCCGTGGTATCGGGTGCCGCACCAGGGCTGTGGCCTTCCTTGCTTGGCGCTTGCCGCCAGCGAGCAGAGGGGCTGTACGGATGTGTCGCCCCAGGAGGCCGTTCTTTGGTAGAGATGGAGCCGCCCACGGGAGGAGACGAGGTGCAGAATCCCTTGAGATCAGGAGGGCCGAAAGTTGTTTTGATAGTCGGACTCCAAAAGTTGAAGAGAGAGGCGTTTAAGGCTTGGGGACTTCTCCTTTTTGGCTGGGATCCGCGGAAGAGTTGATTGCCAACTGTCTTGGCGTGTCATGAGTTTTGGGGGCTTTTGCGAGATCATTGGGGAGTTGACTAGATTGGAACGTTCGACAGAGACCAAAGTGTTTACTTACGTACTTACTTGTTTTTACTCTTTTACCTTGTAAACCAAAATTAATGTGGAATGATTTTCCAGAAGTCACCGGGACCATTGCAGGCAGAGTATTTTTCGATTGTTGTTTGCAGGTGTTTGGGCTCGAAGATGCTCGAAGAGGGGATGGGCAGCAAGGGGGTTCACTCATGAAGCCTCACAATGAATAGCAAGAACGCCTTGATATTCCATGTCATGTCCTTGCGGGAAACCCCTTATCTCACTGATGAACATAACAGATCTTCGCATTTGTTTGATCACACAACCTGCAAGCAAACCATTGTTTGGGGACTTTGAAATCAATCCGACTGAAAGAAGGTCTTCGCTCATGTCATGTTAACTCTCCTTTTCCAAACGAAAAAAACGAAGAAACCAAACACAGTGAACCACCGCGGGCGGCTGCTAACGGTCCGAGCCGAGCCGATCGGCTCAGGCTTGGGCGAAGTTTTGGGACGATTATCCTGGCCCCTTGGGGCTGCGGTGATCGGAGAACGGGAGTGGCCGGGAGCGGCCGGAGAGAACGGTGCCCGTTTTCTTTCGGTGCGAAGTAAGAGAGGAGAGGTGAAAAGTGAAGGTCAAGACGGTCAAGAGAGATGTGCCATCCATTTTCATCCTTCAAAATTAGGTCGTCGGTATAGTGGTCAAAAAGAGATCGAAAGCGATGTGATGGTCATCCACTGCAGAAGACCATGCTCTTACAAAGAATTGGCAGTAGCGGGTTCAATGATCATCCCCTTGGAGTGGCTTTGGTAAGGATATTATGACCATCCGATGCGTTCTGACATGTTCTGAGTATGACACATGGGATCCAATGAACGTCCGTTCTGGGCACTCTATATAGCTATCTATAGAATCTAGTCCTGGGGTGACCCAAACAACAGCCAAAGCATCCCAAAGCTCTGGGCGCCATATGGTCGCATATGGTCGCTCCAGCTGGCTGCAAGCACCCACCCGCTCCGCTTTGCTCCGTTTCCTTCGTCGATGCGTCGCACGGCGTCCCCGAAGACGGGGCTTCCGCCCGCCCCGTCTGTTTGAACGGCGATGTACTCGACGAATAAGGTGTGATCTCGATGCACTTTGGCACCGACATCCAATCCTCGGCCGCCTTTCCGGCGGTGAACCAGACCATCCAAGCAATGAAGCTCAGTGATTGGATGGGCGATCCACCCAGGGAACAACTGGGGGAGCTCGGATGGAAGGTCTGTTGAGAAACAATAGGACTTTCCAAGATGATCACGTCCTTATGTGGCGCACTTCCGGTGATCATACATGTGTCCCATATATGTGTATGTTTGCTTTGGGCACTCATGAGAGCAGAACGTCCAATGTGGTGGTGGTTTTTCACAGAACACCGCGACTGTGGAGTAGTAGAAACATGTAGAAACCAAAGCCATCCAACCCTGAAGCGAGCCCAGGAAGACCTTCGGCTGCTCCTTCCTGAGACAAGCGCCCCTGGACTTCTTTACAACTGCCTCCTGGTGCACCGGAAACAGCGACCTCTTCAGCCTCTTGGCCGGTCGATCGGAACGGTCCACGTGGTTTCTTTTGGTGCTAGTGAACCGAATGAAAAGGAGGTCGGGAGCCTTTAGTTACGGGTTAATGAGTTATCAGCGGCTCTATTTTTTGAGAATGTGGTCGTACCTTCGGAAGCCACGTTGGAAAAGGGAATTCAATGGAATTCAGCAATTCAGCATCATTCACCATCTAGAGCATTTCGCTTGTCATTGGAAGATATTGGAAGTGGGTCTACCAGCGACATCGGGGTCAAGTTTCGCCCGGAAGGGATTGTTTGGGAAGTTCGACATCAAAGAATAACCAGAGACAAAACGTATGTTTAATTGAAAAATGTGTGATCCGAGTCTCACAATACCCAAGACGCGCGTCAAGAAAGAGCAAAGTCCTCACCAGACATGTGCATGCAAATCAAACCTAATGACAGACTCTATGGTTCATCATAATGTACACCAAAATTGAAAAAGAAGTGGACCTGGCTGCCTACAAATCTGCTCAGGCCCTGTTGCTCAACTTTGCCCTGAATCTTGTGGCTGCAAGTCTTCCTTCGATGCCAGCTTTTGCCCAAGTGCTTGTGCGGGCAACAGCACTGGAATGCGGTGAATTTTTTGTGAGCGTGGCGTGCTGTCATCAATTTTTCTGCCAAGAAGATAGGCAATTGACACAAATCTCACTGTTTGAGATGAATGCACAGCTTCTGACCTAATTTTTGTGATGTATCCGAATGGATATATTATCATAGGTGCTTCTTGCAACAAATTTGGTCGTTCGAAGAACTACCGATCAAAACAACATATATATATATATATACACATAATTTTATGATAGATCAAAACCCCTGCACAACTGTTTTTGCATGTATCGGATGATAAAACTAAACAAACAGTACATTATGCGTAGATGTTTAAAGCATACTCAAGTTTCAACCATTGCACACCGCAGGTCGCATTCAGGTTCAAGAAAAGGACCGCTTTCGCATGGTAGCAGAGCCAAGGATCCCGGAAGGGTGAGGCTCAGATTTGCGACGCCATGGCTGGTGCGGACGGTTGAGCCCAGCTGGAAGCCCTAGTGGAACCGCAGGCCAGCAGATAGATGGAGCAGAATTGGCGAGGAGAATGATGTTGGCGACAGAAGCTGCATCCACGGCAGCTACAGTGGCAGCTCAAACTTTGGCAGAGCTAAAGAGCCAAAGACATGATGAAAAGAGTTGGTACAAGACATTGCCCAAGCCTGGCTCCTTTGGTCCTAAGAGTCGAGAAGAAGAATTGTCAATGCGGCGTGATTTTGCATGGTCATTGGAACAGTACTTAGCATCCTTTGATATCGAATATCTTGCAGACTTCGAAGCTTGGAGAAAGAACCCAGATCGACAGAAGTTGACTGCTTAATGGGAGACAAGGAGAAAAGCCGCAGCTCATTTCTGTATAGCCTTTTGGCGGGATTGTTGAAGAATCGACCCTTGCTGATATTGAGACAAGTTTCGGAAAGCAATGGATTGGAGGCCTACAGGCAACTTTTGAGTTCCTTGGAGCCAGTGAGCAGAAACAGATCCCTCGGCGTATTCAATGTTATTCTTGGCTGGTCTTCGTTTGACATGCAGAAGAATATGTTGTCACAACTTGTGAAATTAGAAGATGCTTTTCGAGAGTATGAGAAGACTGGAGCGACATTGGCTGAAGAGATCAAATTTCCTGTATTGATGAAGTGTCTTTCAGGGAATATCAAAATTTGGCTACAACCCCAGGCTTCAGAAATCACAAGCTATGTCACTTTGAGAGAGGAGGTCCTGGAATTTGGAATCCTGCTTGGTCTCACTTAGCGGAGTCGCACCAAGGAACTCGTAGTCCCCTTTTCATCTTCAGCTGCATGTCCAATCTCCCAATAGGTGGGCTTTTCGTCGACAGCCAGGTCTTGGGATCAGGGGATTCCTCAGCTTTCTCGAAAGACGTGAAGCCGCGTTCAGCAGCCATGAAGTCGTTGAGCTTGAATCCATCGTTCTGTTCAATACCCTGGTCATTGGTCCTGAGGACAAACTCCAGTTTCTCAGGGTCATAGTCGATGCTGAGGTGCAGGTATTCGCCTTGTCGACCAAGGGTCGCTGGCGTCCAGGGTGAGCTGCCAATGCGAAGGTGCTTCTGCGCAAAGCCCATGGTCGTTCCCAAGGCCTCAATGATGGGCCTTCGACACAACATAGGCGTGTTGCCAGGCAGCAAGAAGAGCTTGATGGTACCATACTTGCCATCAACGAAGGTGGGAATGTGGGCGGACCAGTCAAACCACATGGATGCATCACCTTCGAATTGGAAGCGTCTCCGGCCTTCCCTTGATGACCTCAATGGGGAAGTCCATGCAAGGTTTGAAGGTGATCTAAGGCCAGACAGAAAAACGCTTGCGCCGGGGTGCATCACACATTCAGGCCGTTCAGCTCCAGGGTGGAGTCTTGAAAGATCAGGAGGGCGCTCTCGTTGAGCTGTGGTGACATAATATAGACATAGCCTCGGTGGTCGAAGCCGAGCGCTTGACACCCGTAGTGCGTGTAGTAGGGCTCGAAGAACTTTGAGGGCAACTAGCTGCCCAATGTCCGGTTTGACCGCGTCGGAGGCAATTCACGTTGGCCTTTGCCCTATACCCTTTCCCTTTTCCTTTTGTTCTCCATGAGGTAGCCGAGGCAGGTGATGTCGCATTCGATGAAGTGCCACCGCCATCGGTCAGGGCGACAATGGGAAGAGATCCACGGCGTCTCCGGGCGGCCGTGTAGGATGCAAAGGCAGAACCGTAGGCTGCGGCCATTTGTGATGGGCTGTTGACCGGATCTCAACAGGAACTAGATTCGGTGGCTCCGCTACTAATGTCGAATGGGTGGTGTAGCTGACGAAGTCCACAACCGAAGAAAAACCAAGCGCAACGATACAAACGGAGCATCGAAAGCGCAGGAAGCTCTGCACGTAGGCTTTTTAGGCGCTCGAGCCCGCCCTTTAGCGGCGATGAGAAAAAGTCATGACATAATATATCAGAATTTGCGCAAAAATTGATGCAAAAAAATTGATTGTGATTATATATTGGAGAAGATAGATAGTTTATGTTGCTTAAAATTCAGGAAATGATGTAGTTTCTTTGGATTTCTATGTATGGTATATTAAGATTTTGAAATGTTTTATTTATAATATCAAAGAAATTTGTAATTTGAGATATATTTCATTTTAAATATGATATTATAAAAATATATATATTAATAATATGATTTAATATATAAACCAATGTGATTATTAAATATATATGTATGAATATTTTTATACATATATTATTATTCGATATATATATTTATTGGGAAAATTGAAAGAAGGTAATTGAATATATTTTGGTATTTTGGATAAAGGATATTGTAAATTTTTGGATGGTGGGATGATGTTTTTAAATGTAAAAGTATAAATATATGTTTGGATAATTTATTGTAATTAGGTATGGAATTTTATATTTGTTGAAAAGAAAATATTATTAATGAATGGGTTTAAAAATGATGGGATTATTTTATTAATCTGCGTTACACTTTATCGTTGTTTATCTCGTAAATTTTGCGATATTTTGAGGAATTCTTCGAAACACCTTCTATTATAGATTCGAAAGACATTAAGAAGACGCTCGGCAAAACGTTTAGTCGTTGATAATTGGGGAAAAATCATTTTAAATTTATAAATTAAAATATTATATATTTATATATTATTTATTGAAAAAATTATTTAGGAAATTAGAAGGAATAGGAATAATATTTAGTATAATTGAAATGATAATATTATAATTATTGAAAAAAATATTTTATAGAATAATTATTTTTAATTTATTAAAAAAAATTAGAAATATTTAATATATTTTGCCGATATATATATATTTATTTAAATAGATTATATGATAGGAAAAAAAATAGTTGCAATATTTATTGATATAATATAAAAATATTTTGAAATTATATATGTTTTAAAATCGATTATTTTGATTTATATAAAATGAATAATTTAAAAAGATAGATATAATGTATTGTTTGATTTTTAAATAAGTATCTTTTATAAATGGTATTTTATATAAATATTTGGATATGGATTTTTTTTTTGGTCTTTGGATGATTATAGATATTTTAGTTTATTTGATTTGGTTTGAATAGAATTTATGGTTGATTGAATATATTTTATTTAATAATATATTTTATATGTTATATGTATTAAAATATATAATATTTAAAAAAAAAAAAAAAATAAGAATTAATTTATATAAATGTATATTTATTAATTTATCTTTATATATTAATAATTTTAACAAATAATCTATATATAAAATATATTTTGCAATTAATTTTATATATAAATTATATTTTGCAAATATATTTATATAAAATATAATTGGTAAATAATTATATATATATATAAAGTAGAATTTGCAAATAATTTTATTTATATATAATATTATGTAAAAATTATATTGTATATATAAATATAAAATATAATTTGCAAATATTACTATATATATTATATAATTTGTAAATTGTTATACATATATAATATAATTTACAAATAAATTTATATATAGAATATAATTTGCAAATAATATATATAATATAATTTATAAATAATTTTATTTATAAAATATAATTATAATAATTTTATATATAAATTAGAATTTATTGATAATACATATAAAAAATTAAATTTTGAAATAAATTCATATATATAATATATATAATAAATAAAAAGACCGGATAATCCCACATGATAAATTTTACAAATTTCAAATCTATATGAACATCACATGGGAGACGGAGTAATGAAATGATAAGTCAAGAACGAAGTGTGAGGAGAGAAGGTATATGAGGCGGTTGTGCTAAAACATGTAGTATAAGTGATGATGTGACAAACGAGGATGAGAAGGAGGGGAGGGAGGAGGTGTGTGTGTGTGTGGTAAGATGGCGTGCGTGTGATAAAGTATCTGATGATGTGATGAATAAGGATGAAAGGGACGAGAGAGAGCCGGGCCCCCAGCGGCGACAACGCGCGCCGCAGCCCCTTCTGCAATCTCTGGAGACTGCGCCGGCCACTGCGGAGAGAGCCGGGCCCCCAGC